TTGCCAAAAAAGGGGGACCTCTCTCTTTTAAAGAATTGGAGACCAGTTGCTCTTTTAACCACTGATTATAAAATCCTTTCCAAATGTTTAGCCAATAGGCTCAAAAATTACTTGTCTTTGGTAGTGCATAGGGACCAGTCTTACTGCATTCCTGATAGATCGATAATGGACAACCTGTTCCTTGTGCGAGATGTATTGGATTGCTGTAAGGGTTCTGATAAGAGTGTTGGGCTGGTTTCTCTTGATCAAGAGAAAGCCTTTGATCGTGTTGATCACCAGTACCTTTTTAATGTGCTTAAGGCTTTTGGCGTTGGGGATGGTTTTTTAAGTTTGGTGCGTTTACTGTATTCTGGTGCTGCATGTTTGGTTAAGGTGGGGGGTGGGTTGAGCAGACCAATCCCAGTCACAAGAGGAATTAGGCAAGGCTGTCCTTTATCAGGTCAGCTATACAGTCTAGCTATTGAACCGCTGCTCATCTGTCTGAGGAGGAGATTAGCTGGCTTTCAAGCTGCACAGGGATTTAGGGGTCCAGGGGCAGCACTATCTGCCTATGCTGATGATGTAACGGTTTTTATCAAAAACAGTCAAGATGTTCAGGTTTTAGTTGAGTCCCTCAACTTGTATGAAAAGGCTTCTTCTGCCAAAGTTAACTGGGAAAAGAGTGAGGCTCTTTGGGTAGGCCAGGAACAGATGGAAAGGCTACCACGTCTGCCTGGGACTTTGAAGTGGGGCAGAGAGGGGTTGAAAATTTTGGGTGTCTTCCTGGGGACAGATGACTTTCAGAAGAAGAACTGGGAGGGTATAGTGGAGAGAGTGTGCACCAAATTGTCTCAATGGAAATGGTTGCTACCCCGGTTGTCCTACAGGGGGAGGGTGTTGGTGGCAAATAACTTGGTCGCCTCCACCCTGTGGCACAGATTCAGTGTTTTACAGCCACCTGCAGGACTGGTACAGGAGGTGCAGAGGATGTTGGTGACTTTTTTCTGGTCAGGACAACACTGGGTTCGATCAGCTGTCCTATACCTGCCAGTACAAGAGGGAGGACAAGGTCTGGTGGATATCAGGTCCAGGATCATGGCCTTTCGTCTGCAAGCTGCCCAACGACTACTGTTCCATGGAGCAATTGCTTGGAAGAATACTGCCACTGTCCTTTTGAGACGAGCTGGGGGAATGGGGTTTGATAAACACCTGTTCCTTATGACAACGCCAGAGGCTGTGTTGGCAGGACTTACACCTTTTTATAGATCGATGCTGGAAGCATGGAAGGTGTTTTCTGCCTCAAGGACTACTGATACGCCTGTTGGTATGTGGTTGTTTGAGGAGCCATTGTTCTTTAACCCCTTTTTACCATCAGCTCTTTCATCTTCAGCAGTATTGCGCTCTCGTTTGGTGGCTGCAGGATACACGAAGCTGGGCCACCTTATGAGTACTGGAACAGCGGCTGTGAGTGAGAGGACGGGGATCAGGTCCGGTCGTCTGCTGAATCAGGTGATGGCAGAGGTGCAGAGGTCACTGCCAGCTGACTACCTGAGCTTCCTGAATGACCCATCTGTCATCGCCCAGTGGAGGGAAGGATGTCAGTATGATTTTCCTGAACTGACTGTTAGCCCTGCTGTGGAGTGGACTGAGGACGAGAGGTGTCTCCTTTCCTTCACCACTCCAGTACTAGGCACCTTCTCTTTGGTTGGAAAGAAGACACTGTACTTGGTATGTGTGAAGGTGTCCCAGGCACGCTTTCTGGATGGAGTTTTATCGACAAGGTGGTCTGAGTTGTTTGGCACTGACTCCTCCCCGAAAGGCTGCTGGCGGGTTCTGTATAAGCGTCCGATTGATAAACGGACAGCTGACCTCCAGTGGAGGATTGTACATGGAGCCATAGCTACAAACAGACATCGGGTGCATCTCGATCCAAATATTGGGGAGGGTTGCCTCTTTTGCCCACAAATTGAGTCTCTCTTTCACTTGTTTGTGCAGTGCGCTCGGTTGGGTGATTTGTTCTCCTTGTTGACCGAATGGTTCTCGTCGTTGGGTGAGGCTTTCTCCTTTCAGCTTTTTATTTTTGGGCCCAAATACACAGTAAGGAGGAAAAATGTCCTAGTTTTACTAAACTTTTTATCTGGTACAGCAAAGCTAGCAATCTGGAAGACAAGAAAGAACCAGATGCTGGGTCAGGGAGCGGTGGACGTGGTGGCTGTGTTCCTGGGGTTGGTGGCTGCACAGCTGAGAATGGAGCATGCTTACTATAATTTGGTGGGGAAGTTGCCAGAGTTCGTGAGCATTTGGGGCATTAATGAAGTCCTATGCACAGTCGATGATGTTGGCAATCTACGGTTGATGTTTTGATTGTGGGTGTTGTTTTAATTTTATGTTGCAGTTAATTTTTATTTTTTTCATTTTTTTCTAACACACGAAAAATTTTGAGCAATAACCTTGGTGTCTTCGTAGGTTTTTGATTGTCTCAATAAAAGGGCTTTTAAAATTCAAAAATTCTCTGCTGTTTTTGTTGTTTATCTCTCTCTCTTTCCTCTTTGTGTTATCTCCCTCTTTATTTTTTGTGTTGGTTATCTCTCTCTGTGCTGGTTTTGTTGTTTATCTTTCTCTTCGCTCTTTGTATTGTTTATCTCTCTCTGTGTTGTTTGTGTTGTTTATCTCTCTCTGTGTTGTTTTTGTTGTTTATCTCTCTCTGTGCTGTTTGTGTTGTTTATCTCCCTGTGCTGTTTGTGTTGTTTATCTCTCTCTCCCTGTGCTTTTTGTGTTGTTTATCTCTTTCTGCACTGTTTGTGTTGTTTATCTCTGTGCTGTTTGTAATGTTTACATTTCTCAGTGCTGTTTGTCTTGTTTCTTTCTCTCTCTCTGCTGTTTTTGTTTGTTTCTCTCTCTTTCCTGTTTGTGTTGTTTATCTCTCTCTGGGCTGTTTGTGTTTATCTCTCTCTGTCTGTACTGTTTGTCTTCTTTACCTGTCTCTGTGCTGTTTGTGTTGTTTATCTTTCTCTCTCTCTCTCTGCACTGTTTGTGTTGTTTATCTCTCTCTCTCTATGCCAATTGTGTTGTTTATCTCTGTCTGTGCTGTTTGTCTTGTTTATCTCTCTCTCGGTGCTGTTTGTGTTGTTTATCTCTCTCTGTGCTGTTTGTATTGTTTACATATCTCAGTGCAGTTTGTGTTGTTTATCTCTCTCTCTCTGCACTGTTTGTGTTGTTTATCTCTTTCTGCACTGTTTGTGTTGTTTATCTCTGTGCTGTTTATGTTGTTTATCTCTGTGCTGTTTGTATTTTTTTCTCTCTCTCTGGGCTGTTTGTGTTGTTAATCTCTCTCTGTCTGTACTGTTTGTCTTGTTTACCTGTCTCTGTGTTGTTTTTGTTGTTTAACTCTCTCTTTTTACTGTTTGTGTTGTTTATCTCTCTCTGTGCTGTTTTTGTTGTTTATCTCTCTCTCTGTGCTGTTTGTGTTGTTTATCTCTCTCTGTGCTGATTGTGTTGTTTATCTCTCTCTCTCTCTCTCTCTGCTGTTTTTGTTGTTTATCTTTCTCTCTGTGCTGTTTGTGTTGTTTATCTCTCTCTGTGCTGTTTGTGTTGTTTATCTCTCTCTCTCTCTCTATGCCGTTTGTGTTGTTTATCTCTGTCTGTGCTGTTTATCTTGTTTATCTTTCTGAGTGCTGTTTGTGTTGTTAATCTCTCTCTCTGCTGTTTTTGTTGTTTATCTCTCTCTCTGTACTGTTTGTGTTGTTTATCTCTCTCTGTGCTGATTGTGTTGTTTATCTCTCTCTCTCTCTCTCTCTGCTGTTTTTGTTGTTTATCTTTCTCTCTGTGCTGTTTGTGTTGTTTATCTCTCTCTGTGCTGTTTGTGTTGTTTATCTCTCTCTCTCTCTCTATGCCGTTTGTGTTGTTTATCTCTGTCTGTGCTGTTTGTCTTGTTTATCTCTCTCTCTCTGCATTATTTGTGTTGTTTATCTCTCTCTCTGCACTGTTTGTGTTGTTTATCTCTCTCTCTCTCTCTCTCTCTCTCTCTGTGCTTTTTGTGTTGTTTATCTTTCTCTCTGTACTGTTTGTGTTGTTTGTCTCTCTCTGTGCTGTTTGTGTTATTTATTGTCTGGATATTTTTTGGGTGGACAGTCCACTTTCAGCCCACCAGTGACACTGATGTATTTAATAACTAGTCACATCGCTGTGTCTGAAACATTCATACCAGACATGCACCACCACTCAGTGGTGGTCCTGCTTTAGGCTCTTTCTATTAATGAATAGAGGAAGAAGGGCTGATAAACTATGCAGTAACAGATGGGCTACAATCTGTCTGATTGTATGATAGGTGTTTCTGACAAAATGGCCAATGAGTGTACGAACACAGTAGAAATTTCAAAAAAATTAGTGTACTTTTTAAAAAATGAGTGTACTTTATTAGTGTACCTTATTTTAAACATACAGTACACTTCTAAAATCAAAGCCATATTAATATGGAGGCTCCAATATTAATGTTGGTTCTATCATTGGGAGATCCGATGATGCCAAAGCCATCCATGGCCAGTAATCTTAGAGAGCACAATTGTGTGGCTAAATAGCTAATATAACAGAATTGGCAGTTAGCATTCTCCTCCAATGACACTGTGTTATAGTGGCAGTTTGTAAAGATGTGGTGGAGCGTTACAGGAAGCTCCCTCCCAGCTTGGTAGCATGGTGTGATGGGGGAGACTTAGCTAAGGGGTGGAACTGGCCACAACCAAAATAGTAGAGAACTTTGTAATTACGGTCACAGAACATCTATCAATACACCGCAGCTAATTGAATATATCAAATTCAGAAGTGTAAACACATTTTTTGTTGATCTGTGAAAATAAGTTAAAATGTCCATCTACAGAGCATATACTTAAATGTGACGTTTTTCTTCAATTTCTATTTGCTATTATAAGAAAAATGAAAACAAAATATAAAATAAAAAAATATTAAATATATTTGCCATAACTCTTGCACAGGCCACATTTTGTTTCCTTGGTACATTCTCTTACCGTATCCTGATCTCTGATTCCTTCATTATCTCAGAAAGCTGCATCACTGAGTTGACTAGTTTATTCCTGCGTAGATCCAGATGTTTCAGTTGTAAGCGATGTGAACTCACAGCTGAAGTCAGAGCAGCACAGCCTTTATCATCTATACTGCAACTCTTAATGCTGCAGACAGTAAAACAGGTTCAAGAACCAAGTTTAGACACTTTTCAATAATAATTAAAATAAAAAGAAGAAACAATTAATAACAGTTAGACAAAAAATAAAGCCAGAATTCTAAACAGTACATCTGAAAATAACAATAACCGACCTTTGAAATTAAAAATGTAACATTTTAATTTAACACAGAATAGCAGAGAAAATAAATGGTAAAAATTTGCTAAAACCATTAATGAAAACGTAATAAACTCCATCATAAACTGCATTGATTTTGTCATGTTACAATTACTATGTTCTGACATCTCCACATGAATGACCTGCAAGTGATCTGAGGAATCGACAATAACCCTGCCTCAGTTAAGGAAAGCACTCAGACTGTGTATTCTGATCAATCATTAATATTGATTATGGAGCCCTTAGATGACTCTATAGTCAATATGAAAAGTAAAACCACTGTGATCTGTATAAGACCTGTATAAGAAGCTGTAGCAGTTAGGTGTACACCGCAATCTTGTCTTTTCCATTTACCATTAATTTGGAGGCTGGACTTTTCAAACTCTAAACATCATTTATTCTACATTTGTATCTCATCTTTACTTTATTGCTGTCATGCATTCAGCCAATCCTCAGATGGACAAGAACTACATCTCCCAGAATCCACTGGGGGATAACGTTGCAGAGATACTTCTCTCGCACCCGGAATCGGACTCAGACTCCAATACCCAGACTTCCCAGCAAAGTCACATGACTCCTGACTGGTCCTCATGCTCCTATCAGCGTTCACGTTCACCCGAATACTAATATGTTTCAGCTGTATCTGTGTCATATGACTATGGGCTTTAGACAGTGTTAGGTATTGCTTTTCACTCTGAAACTACTGAGCGTTTATTCCTCTTGACATTATCATGTAATTGACCTTCTGCTTGTTTTTCTTTGACTCTGTCTTTTTTACTTTTGCCTGACTTCTTGGATTCATATTTTTGACGTATCGCTTGTTTTGTAGACTTCGTTCGGATTTGTCCTTGTCTGTTGTGGTCGCCATTGTTGCTTTCCTGTGCTTATTGGAACTGACCCATGCCTGTCCTCTGACTCTGTTGCACTTTCCTGATTCTACTAGTAAAACCTTCCTTGTGTTTTCAAACTGCGAGCGTCTGATTTCTGGCGACACGTTACAATTGCATTTTATCATTTCCATCATGTTTCTTCAATGCTTTTCTCTAGTATTCCACAGAACTCAACAAGACACCATCAGGAATCTCAATCCCATTAATGTCATCTACCCCATGTTTATCATAATTTCAGAAAATGGAGGTAAGTGGGCTCTGGAATTGCTGGTCTGCAGTCCAGAAGACAGACTTTAATCTCAGCATTAGCATTTTACCTTCTGCCATTCTCCACAACAGACAGCCAGGGGCTGCACAAGACTCTTAACCTTTTAACCACACTCCACTTTTCACATCTACACTTTCTTTCTCTCTCTCTCCCTGTCATCATGTCCACATCTCTTCTTACATCACCTCCTCTACATCATCTCCTCATGCACTTCACAGATGAGAGCAGGCAGAGAGGATGACAGTGGTAAACTGTGGCACACGGCTGGTCAATACGTGTACATCTGTGGCAAACACTTCATCATAGGTATGTTTATGACTCAGTTACCAACCAGTATCACTCCTTTCTTTCCTCTGAAGAATTCTCAAACATTCAGTCTATAGTCAGTTGTCTGTTTTTCTCATTTGGAATCAGCTCCAGAATTTCAAATAGTCTAGGTTTAAACCGGCACCCTTTACAGAAACTATCATTAGTCCTGATTCTTCATGAGCTTTTACAGCCTTTGACACGGTCAACCTCAAGATCCTTCTGTCCATCCTCACCAATCTTGGTAAGTAATTGTCTTAGTTATGTGTACAATAACTCAGAGGTGCAATAATTTGAACTGCTTTATACAGTATGTTTCATATTTATTTATTATCACAGCCACTGTCATTTTACTGTATTTGTAAGAATTTAAAGGTGCACATATTGCAAATTTCTCTCTTGTTTTAAATTATTAGTGTTTATTCTTTCACATTAATGGTTGCAACTGTAACAACTGCAATTTCCCTTGGGATCAATAAAGTATTCTGATTCTGAAAATATCAAGTATACATTCCTTAAAACATATTTTGCTAGTACTGAATCTGTGCTAAATTATACATATTATGAATGTTCTGGTCTAATGACTCACTTCAGTTTCTCCAGTTTACAGTGAGGATTCTTCAGTAGATTGCAGAGCTCTTTCACTCCTGACTCCTCTAGTTTATTCCAGTTCAGGTTCAGCTCTCTGATATATGATGGATTTTCACAAAGAGCTGAAACCAGATCTGCCCAGGATTTCTCTGGTAAACTCTGAACTAGTCTGTAGATCGAGAGAGAGAGAAGGAAGAGTAAATTACACACAACTAACAAAGGAAAAATACCATGTGTAAATAAATACCATAAATCACTGAATATTTATACAAGCAGTATTCAAAAATATCAACAATTAAATAATAATATGTACTAAATACTATGGAATTCTGGTTGATCTTAGCCCACGGTGGGAGGGATTAAAAAATAGTAAATCCTATGATAGTTTTAACATGTTCACTGGCTGAATTATTTATTAATCTTTGGATATTTGATAATTGATTTTATAAAAATATGTATAATGTATACATGTATTACCTAACATCCTAATGTTATTAAATCTGTGGTGCATTATGTAGAATATGTTCTAGTCTGCTAAAGAAATGTCTATCCCATAACACCTATAGCTGATTCTTAGATTTAGACCCAATTCTCTAAAAGACAAGTCATTAATAAACAATAACCCTGCCTCAGTTAAAGAAAGCACTCAGACTGTGTATTCTGATCAATCATTAATATTGATTATGGAGCCACTTTCCTGATTCTACTAGTAAAACCTTCCTTGTGTTTTCAAACTGCGAGCGTCTGATTTCTGGCGACACGTTACAATTGCATTTTATCATTTCCATCATGTTTCTTCAATGCTTTTCTCTAGTATTCCACAGAACTCAACAAGACACCATCAGGAATCTCAATCCCATTAATGTCATCTACCCCATGTTTATCATAATTTCAGAAAATGGAGGTAAGTGGGCTCTGGAATTGCTGGTCTGCAGTCCAGAAGACAGACTTTAATCTCAGCATTAGCATTTTACCTTCTGCCATTCTCCACAACAGACAGCCAGGGGCTGCACAAGACTCTTAACCTTTTAACCACACTCCACTTTTCACATCTACACTTTCTTTCTCTCTCTCTCCCTGTCATCATGTCCACATCTCTTCTTACATCACCTCCTCTACATCATCTCCTCATGCACTTCACAGATGAGAGCAGGCAGAGAGGATGACAGTGGTAAACTGTGGCACACGGCTGGTCAATACGTGTACATCTGTGGCAAACACTTCATCATAGGTATGTTTATGACTCAGTTACCAACCAGTATCACTCCTTTCTTTCCTCTGAAGAATTCTCAAACATTCAGTCTATAGTCAGTTGTCTGTTTTTCTCATTTGGAATCAGCTCCAGAATTTCAAATAGTCTAGGTTTAAACCGGCACCCTTTACAGAAACTATCATTAGTCCTGATTCTTCATGAGCTTTTACAGCCTTTGACACGGTCAACCTCAAGATCCTTCTGTCCATCCTCACCAATCTTGGTAAGTAATTGTCTTAGTTATGTGTACAATAACTCAGAGGTGCAATAATTTGAACTGCTTTATACAGTATGTTTCATATTTATTTATTATCACAGCCACTGTCATTTTACTGTATTTGTAAGAATTTAAAGGTGCACATATTGCAAATTTCTCTCTTGTTTTAAATTATTAGTGTTTATTCTTTCACATTAATGGTTGCAACTGTAACAACTGCAATTTCCCTTGGGATCAATAAAGTATTCTGATTCTGAAAATATCAAGTATACATTCCTTAAAACATATTTTGCTAGTACTGAATCTGTGCTAAATTATACATATTATGAATGTTCTGGTCTAATGACTCACTTCAGTTTCTCCAGTTTACAGTGAGGATTCTTCAGTAGATTGCAGAGCTCTTTCACTCCTGACTCCTCTAGTTTATTCTTGTTCAGGTTCAGCTCTCTGATATATGATGGATTTTCACAAAGAGCTGAAACCAGATCTGCACAGGATTTCTCTGGTAAACTCTGAACTAGTCTGTAGATCGAGAGAGAGAGAAGGAAGAGTAAATTACACACAACTAACAAAGGAAAAATACCATGTGTAAATAAATACCATAAATCACTGAATATTTATACAAGCAGTATTCAAAAATATCAACAATTAAATAATAATATGTACTAAATACTATGGAATTCTGGTTGATCTTAGCCCACGGTGGGAGGGATTAAAAAATAGTAAATCCTATGATAGTTTTAACATGTTCACTGGCTGAATTATTTATTAATCTTTGGATATTTGATAATTGATTTTATAAAAATATGTATAATGTATACATGTATTACCTAATATCCTAATGTTATTAAATCTGTGGTGCATTATGTAGAATATGTTCTAGTCTGCTAAAGAAATGTCTATCCCATAACACCTATAGCTGATTCTTAGATTTAGACCCAATTCTCTAAAAGACAAGTCATTAATCCCCTTATTGTGGACAGTTTTACTCACTTTAGTTTCTCCAGTTTACAGTGAGGATTCTTCAGTAGGTTGCAGAGCTCTTTCACTCCTGACTTTCCTAGTTTGTTCATGTACAGATCCAGCTCTCTCAGGTGTGAGGGGTTTGAGGTTAAAGCTGAAGCCAGATCAGCACAGCCTTTCTCTTCTATACTGCACTTTTTAATCCTGCAGAGAAAGAGATGGATTCCTTATTTCTTCAGTGCTGAATATATATGAACATATATAAACACTGACACAAGGACTCTCTCTTTAAAACAAACACTTACCTTTTATAGATATTATTTATATATAATTTGTATATAAATTTATACATAATGACTGAAAACCCTGAATATGTGGAATAAAACTTGAGAATATGGAATGAAATCTGACGTCATTAATGCACTAGCGCCATCTTGTGTTTTGGTTGTGCGAGATTCCGTATGGACGCAGGCAGTGCGTCGCTATGACTGAGTCAGCACAAGATCTAGTGGCAGTAATCCTGAATAGTGAGAGGATAATTAACACCCTGGTGAATGGATGTACGAACCAAAATAATACCGGTAACCGTATTTAATACTGTTTTACCAATGAACTTCATTCACTGTTTCACTGTGGAAGAATGCAGTGACCTTAACAGGCCAGGCAGTTATCATTAATCAGGCAAACGTTAACGGAGACAGAAACCTGCCTTCCACCTCACAGGAGCTCCCACAACAATCCCCACCTAAAATCTTCGCCCGTTCCCTTGAAAGTCCACAAGGCTATGGCGTGGGGTAGGACTAGCTAGCCTATATATAACAAATGTAGTTGAGTGCTGTTAGGTGCACCCCCCTGGGACACGATCACTTGTAGCGGGGATAGCCCTCGACATCCACCCCGGACTGCGACTGCGTTTAAAGTGGAGCTCCAACACTACACCCCATCCCTACAACCCCTTTTCCAACCCGGGAAGGTGACATCGCTCTAGGCTGCTTGTGGGCTGCTCCTGTGAGGTGTTTCTTTCTAGTATTATTTGGGCCGTACATCCGTTCGCCAGGGTGTTAATTACCTCCTCACTATTCAGGATTACTGCTACTAGATTTCGTGCTGACTCCGTCATAGTGACGCACTGCCTGCATCTGTACAGGATAATACATCCAAAAAACAAGATGGCACAAGTGCTTCGATGATGTCCCATTTCATTCTATATTCTCAAGTTTCGTTCCATATAGTCAGACTTTGTCATATTCTCAAATTGCATTCCATATTCTCAATGTTCATTCCGTATATTCAGAGTTTCATTCCGTATTCTTGTGGTTCATTCCATATGGCATGCCGTTTAGGAAATTATTTATATATATACACACACACACACACACACACACACACACACATACATATATATAGACTGAAAAATCTGTATATATGGAATGAAACTCTGAATATATGGAATTGCGGCAAGCCAGGAAATATTTCATGAATATTGATATATATTTAATGAATATTAATATATATGGAATGAACATTGATATATATGGAATGAACATTGATATATATTGAATGAACATTGATGTATATGGATCGAACATTGAGATGAAATTAATTTTATAGTTTATAAAATGCATTGTATAGTTTATAAAAGCATTTTATAAACTATAAAATGCTTTTATAAACTTTCTCTGTTTAGAAAGAGAGGGACATTTGAGATGATTTGTAGTCTTGGCCCTCCCTCACCTGCTGAACAGACTGTTTACGTTGTTATTTAATGCTGCTATGTTGTTGTTCTTCAGTTACAGTGTGTGTATGTGTTTACCGTGTTATTTTGTGTCCAGGTCAGAGTTAGTGAGAGTGTGTTTGTGTTTGGTGACCATCAGAAGAAAGAGTAGGGCTAGGAGTGACCAACCTCAATTTTCAGTTGCTTTTGAAGTGGCACTGTTTTCCCTCGCTCTCAATAAAAGAGCATTTTTCAAACAGAAGTTATGGCCTCATCTGACTCTTCTTCTGCACCATGTCAAATGATGTACATATATGATGTAAAGACACAGATGGGTGGAACTTCAATATCAGCCACTCTCAGGTCACTCTGTCCAAGGCATCACTGTGTATATATACTGGTCACTTTATCAGAATTCCCTTCCTTTAAGCTCCACCTGGAGTTTGTTAATGCCCATTTATTGATACTGTTTTTGTTAGCCATCCACAACCCTTCAACAGTGACTTCCATTCAATATATATCAATGTTCATTTCATATATATCAAAGTTCATTGTGTGTGTGTGTGTGTGTGTGTATATATATATATATATATATACACGCACACACACACACACACACACACACAATTCATTTGCAGTAATCCTTGACTCTTTAGCAGAATTCACACCGAACCAATGCCAAGTTTTATCAGTTTGACTGCCCAGCATTTGTGCGTGCTGAAGCAGCAATGAAAAGAGAAAGTTTTGAAAGAATGTAATTTTGTTATTGCTTTCATGAACCACTTCAACAACAAGGAAACAATCCATGACCACCAATAATATGACAGCCACTGGGCCTACAAGGTTCCCTGCAAAGAGGCAACTGGCAATAGAAGGACTGGAAAAGATTGATGAAAGAGAACTACCTCAGCTGGAAGTCTACCTTTAGGAAAACCATAGCAGAAATTTGTCTCACAGCCAATGGGAGGTAAATACTAGAATCAGAGTCAGCTCAGCAAACTCACAGGATAAAAGCAGTCAGTGTTTGTGAACCATCCATTGGTTAAGACATAATTTGGTCACATGAAGAGGAATGCCATAAAAATAAAATGTATATAGCAATAAAAAAAATGCTGTTTGGCAAACTGGAGACGTTTTCAAAAGTTTCTATGAAAGTGAGTTGGACACTTTCAGGACACTTTTTGGGACTTTTTCAGACTGAAGATTTTTCATAATGAAAGGTCTGACAGGTGTTTAGCAAGCTGTACTTTTGTAAGCTGCAACATCTTCAACTCAAAAGAAGACCAAAGCAAAATTCTCTATTAAACACCTGACTCTGGACTTGGACTCAAACCCCAAAGACTCAACTCAGACTCACACCCCAGAGACTCAGATTCACACCATTGACTCACACCTCAGAGACTCAATATTCAACTCAGACTCACATCTCAGAAACTTGACCCAGATTCACACTTTAGAGACTCAATTTAAAATCACACCTACAGAGATTCAACTCAAACTTGCACTACAGAGACATGAGACTATTCTTACTTAAACCCTAAAGACTTCTGACTGGACTCAGACTTACACTCCAGAGATTTGAGACTGGACTCAGCCTCACACCACAGAGACTTGAGACTCGACTCAAACTCGCACTCCAGAGTCTAGACACTCGATTCAGACACACACCTTACAGCAGGCATGGGGGAGTAGCTAAGTTACGTACTACTTTTTGTAGCTAACTACCAATTTTTGTAGCTAATAGCTGTAGCCGCTACAGTTTTACAAAATTTAGCTCATAGTGGTACGCCTACAAATTTTTGTGTAGCTATAGTGATCATTTTCACTACAGGCCTCAGGCAATCTGCGCAAAATGTGAAAAAACAGCTGAGTGCTTATCAATGCAAATAAGTCAATTCATCTCCAAATGATCAATGTTCATCTTAAATCTCTGTCTTTGCCTTTTCGTTATCTGTGTTGCTGTGTGTCCAGCAGTCTTCAGCGTTACAGGTTGGTGAATTAGCAGTTCTACATTAACTCCAGCATTTAAGACCATTCATTGTGAAAACTGTGTTAGAACTGTGTGTAATAATGGTTTTACAGTAAAGAAGGATTATTTTATGTTATTTTACCTAAAAATCTAGTTCTGCTGTGGAGCCACAACAGCTCTGCAGCAGTGGAGCGATTATTCAGGCCTGATTCTCACCCCAAACAGAGCCAGAGTCACTGATGAGAACTTTGAGGCTAAAGTGTTGCTGAAATTTAACAATTGACTCTGAATGTCTTGTCTGTAAATATCTTGCTGAAATGTTTAAATTGGAGCAGTTTTACTTCAACATTTGACAATGCCTTGCACAAAATTGTTTGGTTTGTATTCGGTCATTTTTGTTGATTTTTGTTATAAAAAACCTGGAATGATTGACTGTGCCTTTTGTTGGATATTGTGCCTTTGGTGGTGTAAGTTTGATTGGAGCTTCACAAGCAGAAGACACATCTGGTAGCAGCCCAAGACACCTTATATGCATCAGTTTCTTGTCCACCAAGTCCCATTTTGATGTTAACTCAGTTGGGGAAAGCCTCGATCCCTTTGTCAGAAGGTCTGAAAAGTTTGATGACAGACCTGAGAACTGTCTCAGCTGGAAGACATGTCAGGAAGCAGCCCAGGATACCTCATATGTGGCTGTTTCAGGTCTACTAGGTCTGATGATGACATTGACTCCATTGAGGGGAGTCTTAGCCCTGTCACTATGCCCACGGCTAACTCGGCTAACTTCAAGGCTCCTCAACATCACACCCACATCAGAGTGGGCCTGAGAACACCAAAGCTGCTGGGGAAAGCAGAGGCATCCTCCAACTCCTGAATAAGATTTCATTTACGTTGATTCAAAAACAGTTGAGTTTTAAAAACTTATAATAGTGTATCAAATACAGAACAGACTCCCTCTTGTAATGACCTGGCCTCTGATCTAAATGCTAGTGTTGTAGTCAAGACTACTGGAGGACAGTCTGAGTCAAGACCAAGACCAGATTAAAATGTTTTCAGAATATAAAAATAAAAGAAGAAAGAAAAAAAAGTTTTCTATCTCAGAGCAATGCAGAGAAATTGTTCATGCATTTGTTAAAGCAGACTTGATCACTGTAATGATCTTCTTACCAGGGAAAACAATCTATTCTCTACACAACGCAGCAGCACAGATCATCATTACACCAACACAGAGAGTTCATATCACCCATGTTTACACACTGCACTGACTGCCTGGGTCTTTTAGAGAGATTTTAAAGCCCTAAATGATATATTAAATACGTCTAGCATACTTCTGGACATTCTTAAGAAAAGGACAGAAGCCAGAATTGTCATCTCAGGACTTCTGCCCACCTACAGGAGAGGAAGCAAAATGTTCAGCATGCTCTACATGCTTCATTGTTGACTCCAGGCCAGATGCGATAACAGTGGTGAACGACTGGACTGCTGGATAGCTCACATGAATGTGAACATTTGAAAACATGTGCTTTTAATTTAAATTATCTCTCTTTGTGTATTTATCATTTTTAATTTGATCCATCATTGCTTTATATTTTAAATGTAATAATCTTAACTTTTCACTTATCTTGCTGTTACCAAACAGTAACTATAACAGAACAAAATCAAACTTAACTTTAATTTCTTCCGATACTCTTAACATAATGTCAAATAGTAATACATTCGCTTCAATATTTTTTTTTTTCAGACATTATGAGTAATGAATTACTAAGAATGCAAATGTACTGTCCTGGTTAACAGCTGTTAGTCCCAGAACACCTTTAACAACTTTATAGACCTACTGCTCTTAAACACATGTAATTAACCTTTTAATGAAGTATTACTCACTTCAGTTTCTCCAGTTTACAGCAAGGATTCTTCAGTAGAATGCAGAGCTTCTCCACTCCTGACTTGTTCAGTTTATTCTCATTCAGATCCAGCTCTCTCAGGTGTGAGGGGTTTACGATCAGGGCAGAAACCAGATCGGCACAGTCGTCACCTTTAACACTGCCTGATTCATATAACCTGAAGAGAGAGAGAGAAAGAAAGAAAGAAAGAAAGAGAGAGAGAGAGAGAGAGGGAGGGAGGGAGGGAGGGAGGGACATAATATTTGGTGATTTACACAGAATTATGCTGTTCTCTCAGACAACAAGAGCTATTTTAACACAAAATAAGTGAACATTAATGTGTGTAAGTAATATAGAGTGAGCAGCAAGTCAGAGCCACTCTGCAACCATTTTTAGTCCACAACTTGTTGGCCATTAACTTCTAACGGATACTCATTATCAATTATATTTTATCTATGTGCATGAAGTTTTTTTCATGTATTACATTGGGTATATAAGTGACTGAGGACATGAAAAGACCCTTCTTCACTGGTCACTTAGTGCAGACCATTGTACATGCCATCTAGGAAGTAAAGAGCAATCAAAACAGAAAGAGCATTGGTGAACATTTTATATGTGGATTATACGTCACATAAGTGGATTACTTCTGGATTTTCCTGACAGCAGCTACATACAGTCCATACTAGGCTGGTTAACTACCTACTCCTGTGGTTGACACTGAAAATTAGCCTTGCAAAACAAGATTGTGGGAATGCAGATCTCTATTCAATAATTCTAATTCAAACAAAAATTCTATTACGAGTAAAATAACTATGTGAGCATGAATTTACAAAATTATACTTTTCCTGTAATTTTACCAATCTCTGATAAAGCAAAACTGTCATTTGAAAAAAAAAAAGAGAGTTACTTTTTAGAGTAATTCACCTCTTTCTGCACTTTTCACTCGGTCCTGATTTTAGAACCAATAATATGCAGGTAGCACAGCAGCTAAAAAGGACCCTCACTCATCCACTGCTGATACTACAGTCCATCTTTCAGCGTGGGCTGAGCGAGGCTGGTGGAACCATGGTGGCAAGCGGACATTTGCCCCACCACTTTTCACAGTACTGTGGCGACGCCCCGCCTGTTTTTGAGTTCAGTTTGCACAGATAAAAACCTCCGCTGACAGCATGAAGCGCTGACCAGCAAGGACAGACAAAAATGAGCGGCACAGCCAATCAGAATCTCCATTTCAGCTGGCAGGTGCTTTCAGACCTGCCGTGGATGGTGCAGACCTGTCCAACTTCTACTGTAGTAGACACAATTGAACCGCGCTGATTCTCGAGGGAATTCAACACTAGAGCGCATTTTTCCACTGCATATATTTGCTGTACTGTCTACAGAATCTGCTGCTTCAACATTTCACTCTTTACAAAAGCTCATATCTTTCCTGCACTGCGAGCTGCTGTAAATAACAAGAGACAAGAAATAAAATAATAATAATAATAATAATAATAATAATAATAATAAGTTAGATTTTGATGCATGGACTGTGGAGTGTCTTTTTAGCCAAGCATCAGTGACCTGATCGGTTAATTGAAACTGGTATACACACACAGACGATAAGTGTCTCTATTTCCTGTTTTTCTGTGTTCATGGTGGTGAATGTGAGAGTAACAGAGCGCTTGAATCCCTGCAAAACTTGATCAATGAACAAACATCCACAAGTGTAATTTAGTCCACTTTAGTCCTTGCAGTCCACCATCCGAACCAAATGAAAGAGATACAACATCACAAAAAATGTGCTGCAGCTTTAGAGAACTAACTAGGTATGAAAACAGCCTGATGTTCATCAGAGATGTTAGCTAACAAATACTGCTATCTAAGGCTGCAGCTATTGAAGCTGTAGAAGTGTTGATACTTGCATAAAATAATTACACAAGTAAAAGTACCTTCCCCAAAACAACTTGAGTAGAAATACAAAAGAAGCAGGATGAAAATCTACTTAAGTACTGAGTACTGCAGTGAAACTTCTACTACATCCAGCATTTATCAGCACAGGAACTGAAGAGTCTGCAAGTCTGTTTTTCTCTGTTTGGGATTGCTCCGAAGTCAGAGATGTAGCCAATCACAAAGCAGTACAAATATTGCCACCATCAAAACAAACCGAACATACACAAAAATGGAAGTACAATCTAAATATGAATGACTAAAATGTAACAGAGTAAAAAGATTCCTTTACTCACTTTGGTAAAGGTAAAAGTAATATGATTTGAAAAACACTCAGAAGAGTAAAGAAACATCAATATATTACTGAAGTACATATACTTGGGTAAATGTAACTACCTATAATGTCTTATGTGGAACTCTATTAGAACACTGTTTACGAGCTGAAGTTAAACATGCCTAAGATCATTACAGCTGCAGAGATCAACAGTATAATTAGATCGATCACAACACTCTTTAAAGCCATTAACAAATATGTAAAATTTAAAATACTAACTGTATTTGATTGTAAACTCAGTAGAATTTCTACAGGTGAACAGACACTGTCGTGTAATTCAGGGCCAACTACAAAATCAGTCTAAATGTATTTAGTTAAACGCTTACCTAAGTTTCTCCAGTCTGCAGTGTGGATCCTGCAGTAGAGCACACAGCTGTTTCACTTTAATGTTGTTTAATTCTTTCTTGCTCAGATCTAACTCTCTCTGCAGTAAAGGGTTTTTATCCAGAATCTTAAGACATTTCCAGGCTTCCTCTGCGTCATCACTGTTCAGCAGTCTGTTGAAAGAAGAAAACAGCCACATTAATAAGTGTATAATGACAAAAAATAAGATTCTGCTGCACCAGAGTGTCAGTGTAATCAATGTGCAGTTGCAAGCTGTATGTATTATAGCAAGCTGACCTTCTTCATTATAGTTGTTGCCATGTAGTTTCTGATTAATACAGTTCCCAGTTTGGTTAATTATTCACTACATCATCAATTAAATATTTCAACTGCCCAAGTGGCATTTTTTTAATTATGTCTCACCTCAGTGTTTTCTTTGAATTCACAAATATCTCTGTGAGCTCCTTCACTCCTGTATCTCCAGGATCATTCCCTCTGAGATCCAGCTCTGTCAGGGGTGATGAGGGGTTTGATTTCAGAGCAGAAGTCAGAGCAGCATATCCTTCTTCTGTGATACTGCAGCATGAAAGACTGGAAAGAGACCATATTCATTATCAAAACATCATACTGAAAGTTTGTGCTTTTAAATAGACTGTATCATTTAAGTCAAACTTTTTTTTACTTTAACTTTAACTTTAGTCCCATCATTACAAATGTCTTTGAGCTGTTTTGTGAAAGAACTGGAACTCACTTCAGTTTCTGCAGTTTACAGTCCTGATTGTTCAGTAGAGAACAGATCTGCTTCACTCCAGAGTTTCCTAGTTTATTCTCACTCAGATCCAGCTCTAACAGGTGTGAAGGATTTGAACAAAGAGCTAATGATATAGCAGCACAGCCTTCCTCTGTAATACTGCTCTTATTCAGCCTGCAGATGAATGGTGGACAAAAGACAAATGATATACTGACATTTATTATACAAAATTACTTGAATCCATCTCTTATAGAAAGGACATCCCTGAATTTCTATAAAGAAATAAATAAATCAAATTAGAACTTCCAAGGCCATTATATTATTCTATTAAGCTGAGCAAAACTATTTTGGAAAAATAAAGCATATTTGTTTCAATAAACATTATCTCATACCGATACTAGAGTGAAGATTAGTTAAATTTTTTTAAGGTGTGCTGACAAACACCTTTTAATTAAACAGATAATTACAGTCCAAACTTGGTTGAGGCTTGTTTGAAGTCATTGTAAAATATATGCAGAGACTGCTATAGAAATCCAGGCTGTATATCAAATGGCTCCCTCCCATATAGTACAATAAGAAAGTTCTAATTTCTTAAAATTATTTAGAACAGTCAATTCAATAAAGTTCGTAATATGCTAAATCTTGTGCAAATAGTTAAAATATATATGTGATCGGGGTCACTTGTATTATGAAGTCTAAAATGCATTCTAGGGGTGACCCCACAGGAGACGTGAACAAGGGAGTGGGAGGAGCTAGAGAGACTGGAAAAGAAGAATTCAGTGAAGATTTGTATTTGAGCTAAAAGTTTCCCCATATGGTAAACAAAGCCTAAATTAATATAAAGTCAAAGCACAGATTGTTAACAATCATCACTGGAACTGTTGCTTATACTGAGAGAATACCAAATGAAAGTCTGTCTGCTGTGCTAGCTTTGCTAAGTAAGCTGCATATATGCTAGCTTGCTGTTCTACAGATTGACCATAGAACTCTAAAGATGAACAAGTATCTAAATTTCAATTTGCTATAGTAGGGCAAAATGTAATATTATTATGCAGCTCACATGCGACAAAATATTTATTGGAGAAACAAGGACCACTGCTCAAAGGTTATATCTTTCCACCTCATTTGTAACAGAGACATTTCCTACTTTTAATCCAGATAGCGCTCTGAGTTGCAGAGTGGCTCAGAGTTCCTCTGGTTCTGAGGGACAACATCCCAGAGAGACAACGTGCACCAGCTGCATCACCATTAACACCTGTGAGCAGTTTTCCCATTCGCCTCATTAAAAATACCTATGAAAAAAAGGTACTCTTTCTATTTTTGCTCATTTAATTAGCCAATTAGTTTGGAGTATTTACATTACTGAAGATTAAACTAGGCCTGCAGGGTTTATTTTATTGTTTTTAATTTTTTTTTAATGTAATATCTATTAGAACTCTGTTTAAGAGCTGAAGTTAAACATGCTTAAGATCATTACAGCTGCAGAGATCAAAAGTAGAATTAGATTGATCCCAACACTCTTTAATGCCATTAACAAATATGTAAAATTTAAAATACTAACTGTACTTGATTGTAAACTCAGTAGAATTTCTACAGGTGAACAGATACTGTCGTGTAATTCAGGGCCAACTACAAAATCAGCTAAAATGTATTTGATTAATTGCTTACCTAAGTTTCTCCAGTCTGTAGTGTGGATCCTGCAGTAGAGCACACAGCTGTTTCACTTTAATGTTGTTTAATTCTTTCTTGCTCAGATCTAACTCTCTCTGCAGTAAGGGGTTTTTATCCAGAATCTTATTAAGACATTTCCAGGCTTCCTCTGCATCATCACTGTTCAGCAGTCTGTAGAAAGAAGAAAACAGCCACATTAAGAAGTGTATAATGACAAAAAATAAGATTCTGCTGCACCAGAGTGTCAGTGTAATCAATGTGCAGTTGCAAGCTGTATCTATTATAGCAAGCTGACCTTCTTCATTATAGTTGTTGCCATGTAGTTTCTGATTAATACAGTTCCCAGTTTGGTTAATTATTCACTACATCATCAATTAAATATTTCAATTGCCCAAGTGGCATTTTTTAAATTATGTCTCACCTCAGTGTTTTCTTTGAATTCACAAATATCTCTGTGAGCTCCTTCACTCCTGTATCACCAGGATCATTCCCTCTGAGATCCAGCTCTGTCAGGGATGATGAGGGGTTTGATTTCAGAGTGGAAGCCAGAGCAGCATATCCTTCCTCTGTTATACTGCAGAAGGAAAGACTGGAAAGAGACCATATTCATTATCAAAACTTCATACTGAAAGTTTGTGATTATAAATAGACTATCATTTAAAAGTCACACTTTTATTACTTTAACTTTAGTCCCATCATTACAAATGTCTTTGAGCTGTTTTGTGAAAGAACTGGAACTAACTTCAGTTTCTGCAGTTTACAGTCCTGATTGTTCAGTAGAGAACAGATCTGCTTCACTCCAGAGTTTCCTAGTTTATTCTCACTCAGATCCAGCTCTAACAGGTGTGAAGGATTTGAACAAAGAGCTGATGACAGAGCAGCACAGCCTTCCTCTGTAATACTGCTCTTATTCAGCCTGAAAATAGAGAGAACATACGCATCCCTAGATTAGACCATAATAAAATTGTTTCATAAAAAATAGAGCAATGAAATTGTACATTTTCATACGGCATAGTATTACTCTGTCATTATGTGACATGAAATACATACTTCTCCAGTAAAATAACACTAGCACATAGAGCTAACTTTATAAACTGTATGTTGACCAAATTTCTCAAAAATGCCTGACTTCAGTATCAGAGTTCTGCAGTGTGAATCCTCCAGTAGAACAGAGATCTTCTTCAGTTTTGAATCTCCTTGTATTTTTCCACTCAGATCCAGCTCTGTCAGCAGTAAGGGGTTTATTCCTAGAACTTCAGTCAGAGAAACACACGCTTCCTCTGCAGCAGAACTGTTCAACAACCTTAAGGTAAAAGAATAATAACATTCATAACTTTAGTCTTTCTTTGTAATGTTCAGACAAAATAATATCAAAGTGTCCATGTAACATAAACATGTAAATTTACTAAAACAGAACTCATGTGCGCAGAGGTTAATGATGTTAAAATAACTTTAAATAGAATAACTCACCTCAGTGTCTTCAGTTTACAGTTTGAATCCTCTATTAAATCAGTGAGCTCCTTCAGTCCTATCTGTCCAAAATCATTCCCTCTGAGATCCAGTTCTATCAGGTGTGATGAGCGGTTTGATTTCAGAGCTGAAGCCAGAGCAGCATATCCTTCCTCTGTTATACTGCAGAATGAAAGACTAGAGAGAAAACATATGTTCAATTACTAAACTAAAATTACAACAATATAATAAGAAATTGCAACTCCATACAATGTTCTGAACATTTTTCTTCATCTTGAGATTGAACCCTATCATTATTATTCAGATATTACATTAAAGATTAAACCCACACATCATCAGAGCTACTGGAGTATTATTTATGAGAACTGGCAGTGAAGTTCTCTCTACACTAGTTAGTGTCTCCCCCAATGAAACTTGGCATGATGGGTAAAGCTCAAAGGCTACTGGGTGAGTGTTTTGTAGTGCTGCTTCACAGTACCACGCAGGAGAAACAAGATCATACCTATGGTATATATGGTGTGTCTGTGTTATGTCCTTTGTTTTGTGTGTACTCCGGTGCTTTTTGTGACTTTTTTGTGCTCTGTAATGTCATTTCACACTGTCTTGTGCTATTTTGATTAGCATGTACATTAAAGTATTGTTCATACTTTTAAATATTAATTTGCTCAGGGACAGCAGCTTAACTTTGTTCATTTATTAAAAAATATATATATAGAACTATGCAATTATTCTATCATATAAACAAAGTAACGTAAGTAAAAAATAAGCTTAGCTACATACTTTCAAAAATTATCTGCACTGAGCACTGAAAATAAAAGCTCTCACGATTTTAAACAAAACCATGTGTTACAATTAATAGGATTTATCCTCAGCTCAGCACACAGGTTGTCAAAGAGGTTTAGGTCAGGCTGACTGAAATGGTCATGTCAAAAGCTTCATATAATGGTGACATGTCAGGATCTGTACACATGCCAGATACACTTATCAGATACTCCAGAACCAGAACCACACTCTACCATTTCACTACAGTTGTCACGCCTCGAACGGATTCGGACTACGTTTCCCAGAAGGACCTGGGAGATCACGTGGATGAGCAACTTCTCTCGGACTCGGAGTCCAGAGCGAACTCCATCGCCCATAATCCCTTGGGTGATCACATGACCCATGACAATAGTTCACGCACCTGTCAGCGTTCCCAATCACCTGAATATTGACTCAGAACACCTGTGTTTTGAATCACATGACTCTCTTAGAATAGTATATCAGCCCGGGCTTTAGTTAGGATACTTTGCGAGGTATTGATTCTCCGGAACTTACTGAGCGTTTTTTCTGATCTGTTTGAGTGATTGTTTTCGACCCACGTTTGTTATATCGACCTTGATTTTTGCCTACTCCCCTTGTACCTTTGCTGATTCTGTATTGGATTTGTGTTTTTGACCTTTCTGCCTGCCATTTTGACGACGATTTTGACTTTCCCCTTGGTTTTGTCTGCCCCGTGTTATGATCACTTCGGTGATCTTTTGCTGCCTTTTGATCAAGACACACGCTTGTTTTTCAACCCCGCTTGTGTCACCTGATAATAAAATATTGTTTGCATTTTTTCATCCGCGAGCGTCTGAATTCTGTTGCCGCGTCACAACAGTATCTCTGCTGTGCTGAGAATCATACCTAAATAATATCTGGTCAACGGCTGTCCTGTGGTCAGAAATCAAAAAGATGAAGGGCATAGAGGAGGAAAGACTTCACTTACTGCAGTTTTTCCAGAGTACACTTGGAATGCTTTAATAATTGGGAGAGGTGCTTCACTCCAGAGTTTCCTACTTTATTCCCACTCAGATCCAGCTCTCTTAGGTGTGATGGATTTGTTCTGAAAGCTGAAGCCAGAGCAGCACAGCCTTCATCTGTAATACTGCAGTTACTCAGCCTGCAGAGAGAGAGAGAGAGAGAGAAAGAGAGAGAGAGAGAGAGAGAGAAAGAAAGAAAAGACAGAGAGTGAGAACAAAGAGAGAAAGAGAGTTTTCCTTTATATTTCTTATGACTTTTTTCCTCATTTACCCAGTTTACATTTATTTCATTCATATTTTTGCAACAAAAATTGAAGCATTAGTTTCTCAGCACTGAGATCTTTTGCAGACAACATTGCTGCCAGTGAGTCAACTTCAGTTTGGAAAGTCATCCAAGAGAACACCAACTCCAAGGTGAAAAAAACTCCCCTTAACCTTCTCCTGAATGATCACCAGCTAACCAAAGACCTGAATGAGTTCTACTAAGACAAAAGATGTGAGCTCTGGGTTCAGATTTATTCTCTCTATCCACCCTAAAGCACTGCTGTGACCACCTAGCAGCAATTTTCACAAACATCTTCAACAAATCATTGGAAATTTGTTCTGTTGCCATGTTTCATTTCCTCCACTATCATTCCTCAGCACAGAATGTTCTTCTAGAGAAAGCTAAAGACATTCAAATAGTTGCAGAGTCTGATCCAATTCTATAAAGCAAGTCCATCCTCACATCATCCATAACCATCTGGTTTGATTCCTTCACGTCACAAGAACCAGCCAAACTCTGTGTCTCCTAGCCCCTCCCCTCTGGTACAAGATTCCGAGCCATCAAAACAGCACAGCCAGACATGCAAACAGCATTTTTTCCCCAGAGCTGTAGCTCATTAACCACAGTGACACTCACACTTTAACTAAACCATGAAACCTCCTTTACTGTCTTACAGCACAACTCTTCTATATGATATTGCTTATTTGCACAACTGTACATATTTAAAACTTACTAATGTTTATATAATTTTGTAATATTCTGTATATAATAGTTGTTACATTATGTCTCCTCAGACTTGCATGTACAAATATTCACACATCACTTCAGCTCATCTCACAGTGGTTCTTTATTATCTACTCTCTTTTTCTTTGTACTATTTATTGTATTTTTATTTTATTTAAATAAATATTTGTTTATAGTCTGTGTGCTGATTGGTATATTACATTTCATACATCTGTGCACTCACCAAGACCAATTTGTTGTATGTGTAACATATTGTGGTGAAATAAAGTGATAGTACAGTAAAGTAGCTATTATTTACCTGATTACCAGTGCTACGATATTGCCAGTAATTTCCACTAATGCCTCTATCAGGTTTAAGAAGTATATTACCTGTCAATCACCTCATTAACCACACCCCTTCAAATATCATCAAATAACTCCTATAGAATTCATATATAATAAAGAAAATTTCAGTCACTGGACGGCATTAGCGATACTGTGGCTTCACTTTCCAACTGTTATGGCATCCACTCATATATATATATATATATATATATAATATATATATATATATATATTCAGACCTTAGATATTTACAAGCATCATGTTATGATCTACATAAACTAAAAAAATTAATAGGTATAGTAATAATATATTGTATTATATATTATATACATATATAATATTATATAACATATGTATAATATACATATATACAAAATCATCATTTATAGGATACTTTCTACTGGGGGGTGTCTGCCCCAAACCCTAACCCCTAAATTTACACTTCTGAATAAAATACTTACATTTTTTGTACTTTTTCAGTGTTGTTTTTTTTTAAAATATCTTTTAGATTTTTTTAAGTGGTTAAGCAATTCAGTCCAAGGCCAGTGAGCAATTAGAAAATCAGTCTAAGTGTATTAATGAATGTGCCAGCTTACATAAGTTTCTCCAGTCTGTAGTGTGGATCCTGCAGGAGAGCACACAGCTGCTGCAATTTCATGTGTCTTAGTCCAGTCTTGCTCAGGTCTAACTCTCTCTGCAATAAGGGGTTTTTACCCAGAATCTTATTAAGAACTTTCCAGGCTTCCTCTGCATCATCATTGTTCAGCAGTCTGTAGAGAAAAGAAAAACACAGCCACATTAATAACTATATAATGAGAAATATTAAGAATCTGCTACACCGGAGTGTCAGTGTAATCAATATAGAATTACAAGCTGTATCTGTCATAGCAAGCTGACCTTCTTCATTATAGTTTTTTTTTCTCCATATAGTTTCCAGCTGGTATAATTCCCAATTTAGTTAATTACCAGGTACACTTTGTGAATTGTTAAATACTTAAAATGGACAAGTGACAATTGCTTTATTATACCTCACCTCAGTATTTTCCTTAAATCCACAAATACACCTGTGAGCAGCTTCACTCAGAATTACTTACCTCAGTGTCTTCAGTTTACAGTTTGAATCCTCTAATAAATCAGTGAGCTCCTTCAGTCCTATCTGTCCAAAATCATTCCCTCTGAGATCCAGCTCTATCAGGTGTGATGAGGGGTTTAATTTCAGAGCTGAAGCCAGAGCAGCATATCCTTTCTCTGTTACACTGCAGAATGAAAGTCTGGAGAGAGAAAATATTCATTATTAAAGTGTCATGATAAAGGTTTCTGCTTTTAAATATATTATTATTTAGAATTCATGCTTTTCATCCCATCATTAGAAATGCCTTCATGTATTTACTGTTTTTAATATAAAAGAACTAGAACTAACATCAGTCTCTGCAGTTTACAGTGCTCTTTGTTCAGTAGAGAACAGATCTGCTTCACTCCAGAGTTTCCTAGTTTATTCTCACTCAGATCCAGCTCTATCAGGTGTGAAGGACTTGAACAAAGAACCGATGATAGAGCAGCACAGCCATCCTCTGTAATATTGCACTTTCTCAGCCTGTATGCAGAAATGAATGGTGGAGAAAAGTTAATTTCAAGAATTTCAAACAAATTTCTGGAGTAAAAGAGTGCACAGTGTCATCTGCAAATGTTTTACAAAAAAGAGGACATGAGTTAAAATTCACTATAACAGGTCAAAACATGGTGATATTAGCCAACCCCCATTTCACAAAATGCCAATGCACAATACTAAGTACAATTTTTATAACTGGTTTTGAAAACAATGGAAATCTAAGTGCAATGAACTACACACTTTAGTGTATGTGTTCTGCAGTGTGAATCCTTGAGTAGATCAGAGATCTTCTTCATTTCTGAATCTCCTTGTTTTTTCCCACTCAGATCCAGCTCTCTCAGCAGTAACGGGTTTATTCCTAGAGCATTAGTCAGAGAATCACAAACTTCCTCTGCTGCGAGACTGCTCAAAAACCTGCAGATAGAAAAAAACACATACTCATATTAATTACATTCTAAAGTGATAATTTTAAAGAAACATTCTTCTACCGTTTAGGTAAAAACAAGCCCAGTTTAAAGTGATCTACAGTGAAGAATATTGGTTTCAGTCAAAAGTGCAAAATATCCAAAAATATCTACCTCAGTGTCTTCAGTTTATAGTTTGGATCCTCTCGTAGATCAGTGAGCATCTTCACTCCTGTATCTCCAGGATCATTACCTCTGAGATCCAGCTCTATCAGGTATGATGAGGGGTTTGATTTCAGAGCTGAAGACAGATCAGCATATCCTTTGTTTGTTACACTGCAGAATGAAAGCCTAGAGAGAAAACATATGATAGTAGTATTATAAAGACATGACAAAGGCTTGTTTTTTTTTTAATTGTGTATTATTGATCTGTAAATGTTTCATTGTTTATGTTTCTTTCTTTTTTAATGTGTAATAACTAGTACTCACCCCAGTTTCTGCAGTTTACAGCACTGATTCTTCAGTAGAGAGCAGATCTCCTTCACTCCAGAGTTTCCTAGTTTATTGTCACTCAGATCCAGCTCTATCAGGTGTGAAGGATTTGAACAAAGAGCTGATGATAGAGCAGCACAGCCTTTCTCTGTAATACTGCTCTTATTCAGCCTGTAGAAAGAACAAAAAGCATCTTTAATAATTTACATGACCTTGTAAGATAAGAAAATCACTTCTCTGCACTGTTATTTTCCAATACGTTAAATAAGCTTTAAAATAATGTTTATCATACAAACTTCTTTTCTAGATCAAACTATGATGCTAAATTATTTTACAAAAACATATAATAATTGTATGTAAACTATGTAAAATTGAATTTATCAGACATGACACCATATAACACAGAAATAAAAATTATTCACATCAAATAATACCAACATCTACAATGAAATTAACTTACTTCAGTGTCTTTGTTCTGCAGTGTGAATCTTTCAGTAGATCAGAGATCTTCTTCATTTCTGAATCTCCTTGTATTTTCCCACTCAGATCCAGCTCTCTCAGCAGTAAGGGGTTTATTCCTAGAGCTTTAGTCAGGGAATCAGAGACTTCCTCTGCAGTAGAACTTTTCAACAACCTTCAGGGAATCAAATTGTGTAAGCTTGGGAACTTAGGAAAATATATTGCATCTATTATTGCCAAACAACAACTGATCTGCTGGCTGTTGTACTCTAAAATGTTTACCTCAGTGTCTTCAGTTTACAGTTTGGAACCTCTACTAGATCAGTGAGCTTCTTCACTCCTGTATCTCCAGGATTGTTACCTCTGAGATCCAGCTCTATCAGGTGTGATGAGGGGTTTGATTTCAGAGCTGAAGCCAGATCAGCATATCCATCCCCTTTAATGTTACAGTCAGTGAGTCTGGAAGTAGAATGAAGTAATTATACAAAAAACAGCATATCAGAGAATATTCTAAATTTTTGCTTACTTAGAGGTGAAAACTGTCAATTATTTATAAAATATTCACAGGTATGTATTTGATCTATGTAGAAATAGGTTTAACAAATGATTTGTAAACTTTAAATTGATGTGAAACTATACTTCAATTAATGCAAGTTATTTTAATTTCAAACTGACATACATATAAACTTTTCATAGTGGTAGTGACAATCGAGTTCACATTAGTAGAGTACACAACCCCACTACAACAATGTACACATTTATTACAGATGTTACTGCACAATCCAATTACCACCCAGTAGAATAGGCTCAGAATTTATTTGCACAACCATTGACCAAAAAATCCCCTCAAATATAGGTTTATTCCAATTAGTTGAATTTTGCCAGATCTTAAACATATATGTACATATGTATCTAATGTTGACACATCTGAGGTATGCGAGTAGCCTAAAGTGTCCAAAAAACAAAAACACAAAAAAACAAAAAACCTTTTGGCATATATGGCTGCCTCTTCGAGCTATTTTGTAATGACAAATTTATGAGCCTAGAAACAAACAAAATGAAAAAAATGCCTCACCTTTTTTTTATTCTTTCCTATTTCTATTTCTGCCAGTTTAATCATAAATGAAAAAAAAAACCTACTTAACATGCTATGGTAAAATTTTCATTTCTTTTTTTTAATCATGGTTTTTGATTTCATTTAAAATATTTAACTACTGTCAACTGTTCTGTGTCAAAAGGTGCTTATCCAGATGCTTTTAAAACTGCCTTGTTGCAGCCTCTACTAAAAAAGTAGCATGTATCCCTCCATGGTAAATAATTTTTAGATCAATTTCAAACCTTCTTTTTTATATAAAGTTTTAGAATTTCTTTTTAAAACAAATAATCCATATCTGATATCACAGAAATCATTTAAGAAATTTCAATCAGGTTTCAATCAAGTACTGAGACAGCATTGGTTCGTGACCCCAGGCTTAACACTAATGCACAAAATCCTTCTGTTCTGGTCTTATTGGCTTTTTTTTTGGATTTTTACCCAATTTTCTTGTCAATTTAGTCGTTTCCAATTCTCACGCAACATCATTGGACGGCCGAACGTGCTCAGAGGAAAGGGGGGAGAAGGGGGGCCATCCTACCCACCCAGAGAGAGCGAGGCCAATTGTGGTCTCTTGGACTCCTGGCTACAGACGGCCATCCATCACCAGGGATTGAACTCGCGATCTCCTGATGATACGGCCAATGCTAAGATGGTTGTGCCACTTGGGAGCCTGTCTTATTGGATCTCAGACAGTTTTTGATACCATTGATCACAAGATTCTAATGTACCGTATTGAATACTGGGTAGGCCTTGTAGGTACTATTTTGGATTGTTTAAATCACATTTAGTGAATAGATGGTTCTTGGTTTCACTGAGAAAAATCATTCATTAAAAAATGCAATATTTCTTGTGGAGTTCCACAAGGTTCAGTTTTAGGGCCTTTACTTTTCTCTCTCTACATGTTACCTTTAGGTGATGTCATTAGAAAACAAAATATGAATTTTCATAGCTATGTTGATGACACACAATTACACGTTTCCTTTCCCTCTAATGATCAAGACTCTGTTGACAGCCGTGTGTCAGATATTTCTCAGTGGATGTCACTTTTTACAACTAAAACAACAAAAAACTCAGAGAAATTTGCTTTATGAGAAATTTGGTTCTTTAGCTTTATATACCAAACCTGCAGTATAAAACCTGGGTGTAATCTTAGACTCTGAGCTGAGTAAACACAAAAATGTAAACACTAAAGTATCTTTTTATCATTTGAGAAATGTTGTTAAATAAAAGCTCAGAGCAATACAGAAAAACTTGTTGATGCAGATCAAAATCTAAATCATCTAAAATCATCAAGCTCCTGAATATGTGTCTGTTTATGATCTTAGATCTGCAGATACTGACCTACAAACACCTTCAATAAAACACAGAAAACACAATAACTCTTTCAGTTATTCTGCTTCTAAACTGTGGAGCTCAGTTCACTTTTGATTAGTCAAACTCATCATACATTTTTAATACACATTTGAAAACGTCTTTAATTTAGCTTTTGATTAAATTTTATTTGTCTTTTAGTATTCACCTGTTTTTAACTGTCACTGCTTCATTAAATTCTGTAAACTTTTATTTCATTTTCCCTTTATGTTGTTGTTACAAAACAGCAACTGTAACAGTAAGATATGAATCTCAAATGTTAATTTTTTTACTGTTAAATTTTATCACCTGTCTGTAAAGCACTTTGAGCTGCCACCAGTACAAAAACTGCTCTATACATACAATTATTATTAAGTCATTATAAAAAGCTTAATGAAGCTTTAACAGAGTTTTAATGATGCATTGATTACACACAACATACAGAGTTATGTAAGTTAGACAAAAGTACCTACAGTACTTACAGAGATCATGGATAATAAATTAATGGGAATACAAATGAACTTTCCTGCTAAAGTACTTTCAGTCCCATAAAACATTTAGCTGGTGTGTTTAATACCTACTTCTCTTAAACACACGTAAATAACCCTATTAAGAAGTATAACTTACATCAATTTCCCCAGTTTACAGTGAGGATCCACAAGTAGCTTGCAAAGCTTCAGCACTCCTGACTCATTTAGTTTATTCTCATTCAGGTTCAGCTGTCTCAGGTGTGACGGGTTTAGAATCAGAGCAGAAATCAGAGCAGCACAGTCTCGCTCTGTAATACTGCCTGATTTATACAGCCTGCAGAGAGAGAGAGAAAGAAAGTCAGAAGTAGTCATATGTAAAAACTTTTTCTTCATCTTTCTGTGTGCATGTGGTAATAATCTCTATATGTAAGAGTCTATTTGGTAACACTATTTTGAGTGGTCTTTTGTAGATGATTAATAAACTCTTTACGGAGTATTAGAAACACATTGAGAATATATCAGTGAAGTAGCAGTAGTGAAGCATCTGAATATTAGGGTAAATATCTTGATGTTCTGTTGATACATCACTTATTAAGTAGATGTATTTTTGATATGTTACATGAAATAAATTTAATGTTACTTCCTTTAAGCAAAACCTAATCCTCACCCTGGCCCTAATGCTGACCCTAACCTTAACCCAAAAACTAATCCTAATCCTAACCCTGACCTAAATTACTAATCGGGCCTTGATTGCAGTCTAAGGCTAGTGTGCAGCTGGAAAATCAGTCTAAATGTATTTCATTAATGAACTGCTTACATAAGTTTCTCCAGTCTGTAGTGTGGATCCTCCAGTAGAGCACAGAGCTGCTGTACTTTGATGCATCTTAGATCAGTCCTGCTCAGATCTAACTCTCTCTGCAGTAAGGGGTTTTTACCCAGAATCTCATTAAGGAATGTATAGGCTTTCACTGCATCACTGCTTTTCAACAACCTGAAAAGAGAAGAAAACACATAATAAACTGCATAATGGGAAACACTAGGAATCTGCTGCACCAGAATGTTAGTGTAATTAAAATGCATTTTTTTTTTTGCCATATAGTTTCCAACTAGCATAGTTCCCAATTGGGTTAATGTCCCAGTATACTTTACCATTTATTAAATATTTCAAATACTCAACTGGTAATTGTTTTATTATATCTCACTTCAGTGTTTTCCTTGAATTCACAAATACGTCTGTGAGCTCCCTCACTCCTTTATCTCCAGGATTGTTCCCTCTGAGGTCCAGCTCTATCAGGTGTGATGAAGGGTTTGATTTCAGAACTGAGGCCAAAGCTGCATATCCTCCCTCTGTTATACTGCAGAATGACAGACTGGAGAGAAAACATAGGCATTACTAAAACATGACAATGAAATTTGTGCTTTTAAACTGTATAATGTAAAATTCATGCTTTGTTTGAATTTTTTTAACGCCATCATTACAAATACCTTAATGTATTTTTTAAGTGGAACAACAAGAACTCACTTCAGTTTCTTTAGATTACAGTGCTGACTGTTCAGTAGAGAACAGATCTGTTTCACTCCAGAGTTTCCTAGTTTATTCTCACTCACATCCAGCTCTATCAGGTGTGAAGGATTTGAACAAAGAGCTGATGATAGAGCAGCACAGCTTTCTTCTGTAATACTGCTCTTATTCAGCCTGAAAACAGAGAGGAATGGTGGAAAAAAGTTCATTTCAAGAAACTTTATCTCATGCAAATTACTGGAATGAAAGTTAGTTTTAAAATAAATTGTGAAACATCTTTATCTGCAAATGTATTGCAAACAAAAGAGAAAATTACAACTCTTTTTAAAAAATGGTTATGTAAATTAAAAACAAAATGCAATGATGCACAAATCGTGTAAACCCTGTATTTAATTGACAACAGTATAAAGACAACCTCTCAAATGTTGAAACTGAAAAATTCTATTGTTTTTTGAAAAAATATATGTCTGTGTATATCTGTGTATATTGTTCAGCATTAATGTGCCTTCAAAAATGTGGAAGTCACCCATGGCATGTGCACTAATGCACCCCCACGCCATCACAAATGCTTGCTTTTGAACTGTGTGCTGATAACAAGCCAGGTGGTCTTTAGCCCTGAGGATGCAGTGTCCATGATTTCCAAAAACAATTTCAAAGTTTGATTCATTGGAACACAGGACAAATTTTCACTTTGACTCAGTCCACCTTAAATGAGCTTGGGTCCAGAGAAGGTCTCAGTGTTTCTGGATTCTGTTTATATTTGGCTTCTTCTTTGCATGGTAGAGTTTTAAATTGCATTTGTGGATGCAGTGACAATCACAGACAGTGATTTTCAGAAGTGTTCCTGAGCTCATGCAGTGATTTACACTAAAGAATCATGTCTGTCTGTAATGCGGTGCCGCCTGTAGGCCTGAAGATCACAGGAATCCAATATTGGTTTTCAGCCTTGTCTCTTGCATTGTGTAGATGATGAAATCCCCAAGTTCTTTGCTATTTTATGTTGAAAAATTTTATTCTTTAATTGTTACAGTACTTGCCCCTGCGATCTTTCAGAGTAGTGAACCCCTCCTCATCTTTTACTTCTGAAAGAATCTGCCTCTCTGAGATATTCTTTTTATACCCAATCATATTACTGACCTGTTGCCAATTAATAACCAGGTGATTTTTTTAGCATTACACAACTTTACCAGTCTTTTGTTGTCTCTCTCCCAGCTTTTTTGAAGAATGTTGGCATTAAATTCACAATGGGCATATATTAAAAAAAAAAATAACAACAACAACAACAACAACAACAACATTTCTGTAAGCCAATCATATCAGACCTCATAACTTGCAAGCCAGTCATATTAGATCTAGTTTTGCACTGCAAAATAATCGGTAACTGAAGCTGATGACAGAATTTTGGCTAAAAGCTCATTAAAATAAACATGAGGCCTTAATCAAAACCTATCAAACACAGAGTGAAACAGTAAGTATACATCCACCTACAATATGGATTTGTGGTCAGTATAGCTGGCTTTTGGGTTTTTTACTCAGTTGCTTGCTAGCTAGCTGGGTTAGTTAACTTTTATGTTAAAGTTTATGTGAGGCAAAAAAAGGTTAGGCTAACACTAACATTAGCTAGATGACATACCAACTCATGTAACCTCCCTTCATTGTGAGTGCGAGAGTTTGAACAAGCTAGAGGGATAGAAATTACGTTATTGACAGCTGTTCATATTCTTTGTTTTTAGATATTTTAAGATTATTTATTTGGCTTCCTATTTGTCATGTTCCTGCTTGAATTGCCCTGTTCTGAGGTGGCAGAATGTAACTGCTGCCCCTTTTAAGGTGGAACGGAACATGAAGCTGACTTAGCTGACAGCTTCATAAGAAAAGGTCATGTAGTGTTGATCATAATACAGTTTTATATCCCTCAACCTGTAGATAGAAAGTAAGAGGCAGCAGCTCTGTCAAAGGCCAGTGAGATGAGTTTTGATAAGATTTTTACTAGTTAAAACAAACAAAAAAATGGATTGATCCCTCATTATTTCCTTGAGTTCTTGCACATCTGAGTTTAATGATATTAATGTGTTACTAAATACAGGACAAGAAAGAGAGAAAGAAGCTGAATGAGACTGACAGGACTGAAGGAGCAGATCTAATGGTAAAAGAAGAAAATGAGGGAAAGTTGTACAAGCTTTCAATTAAAATTAATATTATGTTTAAGTGAATTTAACTGAGAAAATATTTGTCACTATGACAATTCTGTCACATAGCTTATTAAACAAGCCTACAGAGCAAAATCACATTCTGTCTGATTGAACCAACTAAGGCTAAACTGATATACGTTCTGGTTATTTGAATAATATATTTAGGACCTTGCAGTTTATCTAAAAGAGAGGAGATAGCATTCACTGACTTCAGCAATTTTACTTGATCTGTGCTTGCTGTAAGTGGATGAGAGTTTAAGCCACATTGACTCTGTGCTTAATACAACTACAAAGAGGCAGATCTACTGTGTGCCAATTTGATCAAATAGCCATTTTTTAAAACACTTTCCAGCTGATCCTATTCTCAAAGTTCATGACATACATTTTGGGTCCATTAAACAAAATTCTCTTGGGGGACATTGCTCCCAGAACCCCCTATCCATGAACATCTAGTGATGCCCCTATGCAAATGTTAACAAAATGAATGTTCAAATTAAAATTCTGAACAGCAGGGCAAAACATAATATTATGTAACCCAAATGTGACAAAATACCATGTAATAAGCAATAAGCATAATGCTAATTTTTCATATCTGCTTTTGAAAACAATACATAGAAATCCAAATGCAGGGAACTACATACAAAATCTTCATAATCCTGCAGTGTGAATCCTCCAATAGATCAGAGATCTTCTTCAGTTCCGAATCTCCTTGTATTTTCCCACTCAGATGCAGCTCTCTCAGCAGTAAGGGGTTCATTCCTAGAACTTTAGTCAGAGAATCACAGACTTCCTCTGCAGTAGAACTGTTCAGCAATCTACAGAGAGAGAGAAAAACACATACATTCATTATATTTCAAACTGATGCGTTTGAAGAAATATTCTTTTACCCATTCATTTACAGCAGTGTATGCAAATTTTAGCCCAGTTTAAAGTTAGCTACATGGAACGAGGATAAATGGTTAAATGGAGGGTCCTTAATTTCGATGTCAGTTTTGGCTAAAAGTGCAAAATATCCTAAAATATCTACCTCACTGTCTTCAGTTTACAATTTGGATTCTCCAGTAGATCAGTGAGCTTCTTCACTCCTGTATCTCCAGGATCGTTCCCTCTGAGATCCAGCTCTATCAGGTGTGATGAGGGGTTTGATTTCAGAGCTGAAGACAGATCAGTATATCCTCCTTCTGTTACATTGCAGAATGAAAGACTAGGGAAAAGAGAGAATTAGAATGAAAAAATTAAAGTGTAAATTCAAGGTTTCAGGTTGATCCTTGTTAAGACTCCATTAAAACTAACTTTAATTTTGTCAGTTTGCAGTTTGAATCCTTCAGTAGAGAACAGATCTTCTTCACTCCAGAGTCTCCTAGTTTATTCTCACTCAGATCCAGCTCTATCAGGTGTGAAGGATTTGAACAAAGAGATGATAATAGAGCAGCACAGCCCTCCTCTGTAATACTGCACTTCTTCAGGCTGCAGACAGAGAGGGATGGTGGATAAAAGTTATTGTCAAGAAACTTCACTGGTAAAAATCAACAAAAGGAAAGTTATTTTTAAATTAGCACAGTGTAACCCACATGCCAAAAATATCAAAGCATAATAATCATTTCACTTTTCTTTTTTTTTTTGAAAGAATAAATTCAAACACAATTAGCAACATACAGAAGTTTGTGAGTTCTGCAGTGTGAATCCTTCAGTAGATCAGAGATCTTCTTTATTTCTGAATCTCCCTGTATTGTCCCACTTAGATCCAGATCTCTCAGCAGTAAGGGGTTTATTCCTAGAATTTTAGTCAGAGAATCGCAGGCTTCCACTGCAGTAGAACTGTTCAACAACCTGAAGATTAAGCAACACAGATACATTTTTCTAATAATGATTATTATTAATAATAATAATTCATTTACTTACTTATAGACCTCCTGAAAACAGCTCAGATCTGAACATGAGAATATATGAAACAAAACTAACTTTAAAGCTCTAAGCCATGCATTTAACATATAAACCAATGGTTCAATAAGCACTAAATCAGAACTTTAGAAATATTTTTCTCAGAGTGATTTTACTACAAAAATCCTGATTGTTCTACAAAAGATTTCTACATCAGTAAATGTACAATTGTTCTGTGAACTAAATATGTGATTGAAATTTACAAGCTCACAATATCTACATTTCTTAAAATATCTACCTCAGTTTCTTCAGGTTACTGTTTGGATCATTTAGTAGATCAGTGAGCTTCTTCACTCCTGTATTTCCAGGATTGTTCCCTCTGAGATCCAACTCTATCAGGTGTGATGAGGGGTTTGACTTCAAAGCTGATGCCAGAGCAGCATATCCTTCCTCTGTTATACTGCAAAATGAAAGACTAGACAGCAGAGAAAATGTGCACTTTAGCATCAAAACAAGACTAAAAGGAAGTACATATGAAGCAAAACACTGAAGCAAAGAAAGTCCTACTGAATACTAATTTAAATTAATTTAGAGTTAGGAAGTCCTTAACACAAGTAGGCCTCTGCATCACATGCCCAACCATGTCAAAAATTATGAGAGCCAATTTCTGCTTTAGATCTCCTGAGCTGTTCAGAACTTCATACTGTATTTCTATCACTGAAAGTGCTGATATATTTATTTTATATTTAATAATCTGATTGTTCATTTTCCTTCTACAGTGTCTTTCACACATAAAGCTCAATAGTTAAGGCTTCATAACTACAAATATATAAAAATATCAAAAAAATCTAATAAACAGTAATGAATGTCAGTATGAACTTTCAGCCTATGCTGATACTGAGCTTAGGAATATAAATGGTCTCACTGTAGCTTCTGTAGCACAGATTTAGGATTCTCCAACATTTCACAGATCTTCTTCACTCCAGAGTTTCCTAGTTTATTCTCATTTAGATCCAGCTCTATCAGGTGTGAAGGATTTGAACAAAGAGATGATGATAGAGCAGCACAGCCTTCCTCTGTAATGCTGCTCTTATTCAGCCTGCAGACAGAGAGCGATGGTGGATAAAAGTTATTGTCAAGAAACATCACTGATAAAAATCAACAAAAGGAAAGTTATTTTTAAATTAGCACAGTGTAACCCACATGCCAAAAATATCAAAGCATAATAATCATTTCACTTTTTTTTTTTGAAAGAATAAATTGAAATTCAAACACAATTAGCAACATACAGAAGTTTGTGAGTTCTGCAGTGTGAATCCTTCAGTAGATCAGAGATCTTCTTTATTTCTGAATCTCCTTGTATTTTCCCACTCAGATCCAGGTCTCTCAGCAGTAAGGGGTTTATTCCTAGAATTTTAGTCAGAGAATCACAGGCTTCCACTGCAGTAGAACTGTTCAACAACCTGTAGATAAAGCAACTCAGATACATTTTTCTAATAATGATTATTATTAATAATAATGATTCATTTACCTATTATTTTCCAAAAGTGGAAGTAAATGCTAACCTATAGTACTTTAGAAAAAAATGATGGTTGAAAAATAAATTAAAATTTTAAAATAGCATTCTGAACTTTCAAAATAGCTTATTTTTCCAAAACAATAAACACTAAATGGGATAGAAAATATCCAGAACCAAGCAGTCGGTCCTTCATTACAGACAGACCTCCTGACAACAGCTCAGATCTAAACATGAGAACATATGAAACAAAACTAACTTTAAAGCTCTAAGCCATGCATTTAACATATAAACCAATGGTTCAATAAGCACTAAATCAGAACTTTAGAAATATTTTTCTCAGAGTGATTTTACTACAAAAATCCTGATTGTTCTACAAAAGATTTCTACATCAGTAAATGTACTACAAATGTTCTGTGAACTAAATATGTGACTGAAATTTACAAGCTCACAATATCTACATTTCTTAAAATATCTACCTCAGTTTCTTCAGGTTACTGTTTGGATCATCGAGTAGATCAGTGAGCTTCTTCACTCCTGTATTTCCAGGATTGTTCCCTCTGAGATCCAGCTCTATCAGGTGTGATGAGGGGTTTGACTTCAAAGCTGATGCCAGAGCAGCATATCCTTCCTCTGTTATACTGCAAAATGAAAGACTAGACAGCAGAGAAAATGTGCACTTTAGCATCAAAACAAGACTAAAAGGAAGTACTTATGAAGCAAAACATTGAAGCAAAGAAAGTCCTACTGAATAATAATTTAAATTAATTTAGAGTTAGGAAGTCCTTAACACAAGTAGGCCTCTGCATCACATGACCAACCATGTCAAAAATCATGAGAGCCAATTTCTGCTTTAGATCTGAGCTGTTCAGAACTTCATACTGTATTTCCATCAATGAAAATGCTGATAAAATTATTTTATATTTAATAATCTATGATTATGGGTTCGCTTTCCTACTACAGTGCCTTTCACACATAAAGCTCAAAAGCTAAACCTTCATAAATACAAATATATAAAAATATAAAAAAAATCTGATAAACAATAATGAATGTCAGTATGAACTTTCAGCCTATGCTGATACTGAGCTTAGGAATATAAATGATCTCACTGTAGCTTCTGTAGCACAAATTTAGGATTCTCCAGCATTTCACAGATCTTCATCACTCCATCATTTAATACTGGATTCTCACTCAGATCCAGCTCTATCAGGTGTGAAGGATTTAAACAAAGAGCTGATGACAGAGCAGCAGAGCCTTCCTCTGTAATACTGCACTTATTCAGCCTGCAGACAGAGAGGAATGGTGGAGAAAAAACATTTTTAGACATGAGGGCTGAAGAGATTTTTTTTATATTAAATATAAAAAAACTAAATACTAACTTTAAAACCTATACTATTTACATTTTATAATTAATGTATATGTGCTTGTTTCTTTCGGTTTAAACGTTGTTTACAATTGAAATATCTTTCACTAACTTATCTTCCATAAGGCTTTTATATGGACATTGTGAAATTGTTGGGGATGCGTCAACATTTACCTACCATTACCTGGGTATGACATGATATTTCTTATGATCTAATATTATATGCATTATTATTAAATAATTGTTTTATTCAAACAGATAAAAATAAGCCTCCATCTCTGAAAACACTCAGGAGTCCATGAGAATATTCTAGACTTCCGTTTGGGTCTAAAGGGTTAACAAAGCTCCCGCTCCTGCTGTAGCTGCTGTAAATATACTGCTTACTTTGATTGGTACTTTGGTAGACATTATGTGACATCATATGCAACATTTAGTATCACTCAAATCAGACAGAAGAAACTGGAGGAAAAAAAATTTAGCCTCAAATTGGAGAGAAGAAATAATCTCAAATATCTCAAATATCTAATAACAAAAAAGGTCAACATAATTTTTTCTTTGCCAGTCAACAGTAAAATACAATAACTATATACAATGGCTAAAAGGTAATTGTGAAAATGAATACAAAGTGAATAAAAATAGATATACATTTTCTTTAATAGCATACTTGGATTTGCATTTCATGTGTGATTATGTCTTTTTTGAGCACAAAAAAGATTGGGGGGTTATGGGATAAAATGAGGTCAAAGCTTGCTGTGATAAGTTGAGTTAATCTATTATTTACTGTTTACCTGCTATTTTCTGATATTAAACTTTTAAACAATGCAAAAAAATCCTAGCTTAAACTCAACACTTGCTAGCAACTTCATTGAATTATGTAGATAACTAGAGTATCTAGAAAAGTAACTTAGTAAGTGAATGTTAGTTAGGTGATAAATGGCTATTGCCAATTTGATTTCTATTGTAAGACACTGAAACTGTTTATGGCAAACCATCAACCCAGAAAGCAAAATGATATACATTAAAGTTTACCTATATTTGTATTTTTGTCTGTTATACAGTCAAACTACACACTGTAACTGAATCTTGCACCTAATCTACTTCTTGTTTCCTTTAAATATTCAGCATATTTAAATTTTCACAGCTCTCTAGTGAATTTTGTATTAGGGGACGTTTATAAAACAGCATGAAGAATAGGGTTTGTTAAACTCGTGGTCATACAGATATTTATACTTAAAGCCAATTTTTCATTCAAATAGAAAGTGGGGAGCAAAACTGTATGACTCCCCCCTAAAAAAGTGGAGATGCAACTACTCTGCTTACTCCACTGTTCTCACACATATGATCCCTTTATTACAACTGTCTTTAGGACATTTTTCTGTGTAACTCACCTCAGTTTCTGCAGTTTACAGCACTGATTGTTCAGTAGAGAACAGATCTGCTTCACTCCAGAGCTTCCCAGTTTATTCTCACTCAGATCCAGCTCTAGCAGATGTGAAGGATTTGAACAAAGAGCTGATGATAGAGCAGCACAGCCTTCATCTGTAATACTGCACTTATTCAGCCTGCAGACAGAGAGGAATGGTGGAGAAAAAACATTTTTAGACATGAGGGCTGAAGAGATTTTTTTTATATTAAATATTTTGTATATTTATTTATTTATAATTTTTATATTTATTTTTCACGTTTTTGAATACTGTATGTATATTAAATGTGCTTACAATAGTGCAAAATTTATTAATGCTGTGCAACCAACAGCAAATGAAACACTAAAATGTATTTTAGAAAATGATGACAAAATCCAAATTCATTAAACTACAAACTTCAGTTTCTGAGTTCTGCAGTGCAAATCTTCCAGCAGCTCAGAGATCTTCTTCAGTTCTGAATCTCCTTGTATTTTCCCACTCAGATCCAGCTCTTTCAGCAGTAAGGGGTTTATTCCTAGAACTTTAGTCAGAGAACCACAGACTTCCTCTGCAGCAGAACTGTTCAACAACCTGGAGAGAGATCACATTAATGATAATTTTATAGACACTTCAAAATCATTCTATTTTATCTGTCTATTTTCAATGTTGTTAAATATATGGTTATTTTGTCCATTTGTATGCTCAGTCAGTCAGGAACATCTATTCTCATCTATTTTTGCCAGAGCTAGATTTTATGTATGTTGCTGAAGTAAGCTTTATAGGGTAGTGCTAGCAGTACAAGCAAGAGCTAGCTTTAGTTTGCTGTCTCTGCCAAGTCCTGAGTAAAGCTGAGTTATGGACCTAGGGCCGTTTTACAGAAGCCTCTTAAATCTGAAATCATATCTGTTTAGTCATCATGACGACCTCAGTTAGGGCTGAATTTAGGACAGAAGCTATTACAGAATAACAGTTCTTATAACAATTCTTACAACAGTTCAAAATCTTGTCCTAATGGCTGATAAGAAAATGTTATTACAGAAACTTAGACAAAATTTACCAAATACTATTTTAACTTTCAGCAAACCCCAGTAGTGTCTTAGCTTATGTTTAACCATCTGTTTCTATACCTGTGACAGGTAGCATGGTTCACTACTAGCATAATGACAATACATTTTACATTTATTTATATTGTAAAATGGTGCTTTAACTTATGTTTTTTTTTTTTATTTCTAACAGTGTTTTAAATCCCCCAGATGCTGCAGACACAATTTCCCCTCTTATTACCTTTGTGTGTTAATGTTAATGAAAAAAATTACAGTGATGCTGGTGAATAATGAGGAGACAGAGCTGAACGTGTGTCGTTTATTAGAAGGAATAACATTAGCGCACTCGGCTAAAGCATTTGGGATCCTGAAACTGGAAAGTGGCGATGCTCTAATAAACAGCACAAAGCACCATCACAATATTCTTAACTTCAAGTTTATTGTGCTTTAGTTTTGTATGACCTTTGTTACATCAGTAATGGTGGCTAGCTGTCTAGCTAACTAACGTAATTATTCTGATTACACATTTCAGCTGTGTGTGGAAAATTTGTTGTCAGGTAACAGACATAATAGTTGATTGTCAATTTTGATCAAGTAAGTTAAGTTGAACTCTAACTTGAGAAGATGCTGTAAGATAAAATTCCTAAATTAAGTTTTGCTGTAATACGAAATTGTGAAAACTGCAAGGAATGCTGAGGAACATTTACTGTAAGCTTATAGAGAATTTATTGGTACTTAAAATGGATAGGTCTAGTCCTAAAATCTTTTTCACTGCACCATGACACGAAATTCCCCTCTGCTGTTAATGGATTCATCTTTGATGCCAATGCTGATCACATGGAGCACCCAGTGTACCTTGAAGTAATAACCCATTTTTGTTTAATTGAGCTGCTGAAAACTTATGTCATTTACTAGAACTAGGCTGGTCAGCTAGCTAACAGGCTAAAAGATAGCAAGCATGCTACACAACTCCAACATTAATATCACAGGCTTAAATTAAAGCACTCACGATATGACTCACTGAAAAATGGAAATATAAAAGTCTATAGAATGTCACCTGAATGGATTACACACTTCAAAACTCTGTTCAGTTTGAAGTCATGTCAAACCCAGACTGAATCCCAAATGGCTCCATACTCCCTAAACAAATAGTGTGCTGTGTAACATTGAGTTTAGAAATTCCAGCTTCTGCTGCCAAATAGTGACTGCCTGTCAAGCATGAATGAGGATGAATCCTAAATGACAATTTTTAGCAATATTTTGCTCTGTTGGGCTGAGTCAGCATTTAAATTCCTACGTAGTGCACTATGTAGGGAGCAGGGAGCCGTTTGAGATTCAGCCCCAGCATGAGAAAAGTGCCATCGTCAGACTGGCAGAAGACTCGCAGTGGTAATTTGGTGATGAAAAAGTACTTATTAACTGAAAGCTTTTGCATTAAATAGTGCTGCATTATCACATGTTCACCTTTATACAAAAAAAAATAAAAATAAAAATCATGAAATGTCTGCAGTATACAGAGATTGGCGACTGAACATTCTCTCTCTCATTCAGCAATCATTGGTTGCTTAGCAATGATACCTTACTCTAGGAACCATATTTCTTGGTGGAATACTTACGTTGATTATTATTAATAATTTAAATAATTATCTAAAACATTGTGTATTTTGATATATTTTATGTTGGCTGCCATTTTATAAAAGCACTAAGCCACTCGAGGTTTTTTGAAAAATATATACCCATTTTGAACTTGATGCCAACAATACGTTCCAAAAATTTGGGCAACAAAAGGTTGGTAAAGTTGTGTAATACTAAAAAAAAACACCTGGTGGTTGATTGACAACAGACGAGTAACATGACTAGGGGAAGTGTCCTGTGCTCCAACAAATCAACATTTGAAGTTTCTTTTGGAAATCATGGACCCTGTGTCCTCCAGGCTAAAGACCACTTAGCTTGTTATCAGTGCACAGTTCTAAAGCCAGTATTCATGATGGTATAGGAGTGCATTAGTGCACATGGCATGGGGGACATGCACATCTGTGAAGGCACCATTAATGCTGAACAATATATACATGTTCTGGCAACATATGCTGCCATCAAGATGACGTCTTTTTCAGGGAAGGCCTTGATTATTTCAGCAAGACAATGTCAAATCACATTCTGCAGCATTGCTCTGTATTAAAAGAGTCCGAGTGCTAAACTGACCTGCCTGCAGTCCAGACCTGTCACCACTGATAACATTTGGCGCATTATGAAATGAAAAATATGACAAATGATCCCCTGAACTGTTAAACAGCTGAATTGGCCATATATTTTTCAGAAAACACTAACATTTCTCAGGTTCAACATTTAATATGTCTTCTTTGTAGTATTTTCCTTTAAAAATATGGTTTACATGATTTGCATATCATTGCATTCTATTTTTATTGACACTCTGCACAGCATCCCAACTTTTTTGGAAATGGGGTTGTATTTAATCAGCAAATAAAGCTCTATGTTTGTAAATATACTTTGGACAAAATGGCGGTACTTAAAATAGACATCTCCTCAAAAAGCATACTTTTTAGTAATCAAACAAATAAACTATTAGCTATAGAAAACTTTGAGCATTTTAAAATATATTTCTTAAAATGTCTACCTCAGTGTCTTCAGTTTACAGTCTGGATCCTCTAGTAGATCAGTGAGCATCTTCACTCCTGTATCTCCAGGATCGTTCCCTCTGAGATCCAGCTCTATCAGGTGTGATGAGGGGTTTGATTTCAGAGCTGAAGACAGATCACCATATCCTTCCTCTGTTATACTGCAGAATGAAAGTCTATGTATAGAAGAAACAGTTTGTTTTTTGGCATTAAAAATTAAAGACTGAAACTGAATAATACACAATATTTTACTATTTAGTCAGTCCTCAGTAAAGAGATATGCCTTCCTTGTCACAACATTAACTGCATTTGTAAAGATATTACCAAACATGTTCTTATATGAAAGCTTCCCTCAAAAAGAAAAACAATTAAAACAAAGAAAACAAAAAAGAACATAAAATATGTCAGAAAATCTAGTATAATGGTGTAGATCAAAATAAACCCCAGCCTATTTTGATGTTTGATGATATTATTTTAAATCATCTCACTCCAGTTTCTGTAGTTTACAGTCAGGATTCTTCAACACATCAGAAATCTTCCCCACTCCAGAGTTTCCTAGTTTATTTTCACTCAGATCCAGCTCTATCAGGTGTGAAGGATTTGAACAAAGAGATGATGATAGAGCAGCACAGGCTTCCTCTGTAATACTGTTCTTTTGCAGCCTGCAGACATAGAGAGATGGTGGACAAAACATAATTTATAAGATACCCTGTCTTTCAAATTCAATGTTCTTTAAAAATAGAACATTTCAAAACTAGGTTAAACTTTATATATTTTAGTATCTGCGAATGGATTTAGTCATTACACTACAACAAAAACTAAAATAAATAAACTACATTAAACTACAAACTTGAGATTATTTGGTCTGCAGTGTGAATCCTTCAGTAGCTCAGAGATCTTCTTCAGTTCTGAATCTCCTTGTATTTTCCCACTCAGGTCCAGCTCTCTCAGCAGTAAGGGGTTTATTCCTAGAACTTTAGTCAGAGAATCACAGACTTCCTCTGCAGTAGAACTGCTCAACAGTCTGTAAAAAGAAGAAAAGCCTCACATTTCAAAAAGGCTAAATACTAATTATGAGTCAATAGAAAAAATGTGGCAAAGGGAGGAGCAACAATATGTGTCATAAACTATATTTAAACATTCTAAATCTGGTTCCGGTTTGAAGTAATGTATAACAGTGGCAGTAGAGTACACTATTAACAGTGAGTGTGTGCTTGATATTTACAAGCTCATATTCCCCAAATGTCTAAATATATCTATCTACCTCAATGTCTTGAGTTTACAGTTTGGATCAGTGAGTAGATCAGTGAGCTTCTTCACTCCTGTATCTCCAGGATTATTCCCTTTTAGATCCAGATCTATCAGGTGTGATGAGGGGTTTGAATTCAGAGCTGAGGCCAGAGCAACATATCCTTCCTCTGTTACACTGCAGAATGAAAGTCTAAAGAAAGGACATAAGTTTATCATTATTAAATGAATCCAGCAAATTTCTACCATGGGTAAAATCAGCATCATGTGTCAGTTTGATGTGTCTAAAATTCACCAGTACATCTCATGCGTAACTCATGCAAGAATGGCTTCCTTTTATCAAATTTAACAAGAAAAAGCAAAGAAGAAAAAATAAACAATTTACAGACCACCAAGAACTTATTGAACTTATTTTTTTCTGCTGAACAAATTACTATAGAAGAAACATTTAGTATTTATTTTGATAGAGCACAAGTCCTACTGAAAATAGCAATTATGCCCCTGTTGTGTTAGTGTCATTTAAAACATAACTGGGCCCACTCACTTTGCAACATTGCTTTTTTGATTTGATATTGATGTCAGAAAACATCATGCACCTATCATGTAAAAATCAGAGTATTGTTCTGAGCGATGTATTCATATTATTTTAGCTCTTTCTATGCATTCTGTAAACAGTTATACTCAATAAAGTGGTGTAAAGCCTGGTGGAATGTTTTCCAAGATTTTTTAATAGTAATCCATGACTTGATGTGCCAGGTCCAAGCTGAGATAGCAGAAAATGACAAAATTGCTTTTGAATCAAATATGTTTGCCACAAAATGAAATGTGCAAATGTTAATTTGATAGTAAAAATTCCAATACCTATAATTGATATCACTTTTTAAAAATATTTTAGTGATCTCCACAAGTATTAGTGATATGTTTTTGCTTATGTTTATAAGTCAACATTTATCTAATCCCAATAAAAGTGTGTAAAATACAAATGTTCTATTGTGGCTATACTAGTATAACCTTTTTATTACAAATCTATGTGCTCTATAACACGTTTTTGTATAAAATATTAACTATATACAATCTTTCTGCCAATCTCTTTACTGAAATGATCATCACTGTTGTTTGTTTATAGGAAACTCATTGACAGCTCTACAACTAGAAGCTTAAACAGATTAAGGAAACAAGTTGACTCCCTATTAAGACAAATAGATGAACTTACCTCAGTTCCTCCACTTTACATTGTGGACTCTTTAGTCCAGCAGAGAGCAGCTTCACTCCTGTGTCCTGTAGAATATTACTACTGAGGTCCAGCTTGATCAAGTTGGAGGATTCTGAGCTGAGAACTTTACACAGAGCTGAACAACCTTTCTCTGTCAGGTTACACTCATTGAGCCTAAAAGTAAAAAGTAAGACTTTATATAATTCTCAAAAAAGAAGTTGTATCAGTTGTTGCCTTGGCTTTGCCCAATAGAAAAACATTATTTAATTGGACTGACAAATAAATTAAAACCTTATAATCATTTAATTGATCACAATCAATGTATTATCATACCCCAGTTCCAGATTCAGATTGTTAAAATATTTAAAAAGTAGTCACGACATGACAGAGCATAATGACAACAATCAGGAAAGGTAAACCATGAAAGATATTTACAGAGCGAGATGGAGAAAACCTCCAAAAAGTGAAGGTCACAGTGATGTTGATGTATTTCACAGAGCTAAAACCTGAAAGTATTGCCAAACACTGGACAGATCTACCCCTCAACAGTAACAGAAAACATTATTTTGAAGAGACTTCTAAAAGGCCTTATAAATATTTCTGACCGTTGTTCATATATTTTCAAATACATTTGATTAATGCATTTAGAATATGCTTATGCTAATATACTAGTATAAAGAGGTCATATTCAGCCCAAGTGTAAGTGTGCAAACCATCACACAATTAATTTCCCTTTTTATATTACACTCAAGACTATTCAACGCAGACTAGAGATTCACACTGAACACAAACTGACAGACATGCCAGCAGGACTCATGAAAAGCAGAACAAGTTAAGCTGCTGACGTATACAGTCAGCAAGTGTTTCTCTGAGTACAGCAAAGTCATTAACTGTGTTAATCACATTGCCAGTACTTGTATACCACAGCATCTCAATGTTCTAATAAGCAACCTCTAAACTGATCAAGGAGCCACAATCATGACAGAAAATGGACAAACTGACTGATTCTACTGACAAAATAGTCAGACAAGGTTGCCCACTATCACCATTTTTGTCCAACCTGTATGCTGAATATACACCAACCAAGCATTTTATTAAGAACTCCTCTTTGCATCTACACTTGTTGTCCATTTGATCAGCTTATGTGTAAGTCATTCAAAACATAATTGGGCCCACTGACTTTGGTTTTTGATTTGACATGGATGTCAGAAAACACAGTGATACTCATTCTAAGTGATGTATTCATACTATTTCAGCTCTTTTCAGACATTCTTTGAGCAGTTATACTCAAAAAAGTGGTGTAACGCCTGGTGGAATGTTTTCCAAGATTTTTCAATAGTAATCTATGACATGACCTGCCAGGTTCAAGCTGAGATGACAGAGAATGATAAAATTGCTTTTGAATCAAATATGTTTATACACCAACCTGAATATTTATACCCCACTTACCATTTAGGAGCACTTTGTAGTTCTACAATTACAAACTGTAGTCCATCTGTTTCTCTGCATACTTTGTTAGCCCCCTTTTACCCTGTTCTTCAGTGGTCAGGACCCCCATGGACCCTCACAGAGCAGGTACTATTTGGGTGGTAGATCATTCTCAGCACTACATTGAGTCTCAGAATAGTCCCTTAACCAAAACATCCAGCCAACAGCATCCTGTGGGCAGCGTCCTGTGACCACTGATGAAGGTCTAGAGGATGACCAACAAAACTGTGCAGCAACAGATGAGCTATCGTCTCTGATTTTACTTGTACAAGGTGGACCTACAAAGTAGGAGTGTCTAATAGAGAGGACAGTGAGTAGACACAGTGTTTAAAAACTCCAGCAGCACTGCTGTGTCTGATCCACTCAGACCGGCACAACACACACTAACACACCACCACCATGTCAGTGTTACTGCAGTGCTGGGAATGATCCACCACCCAAACAGTACCTGCTCTGTCCTGACCTGACAGGTCAACAAAGTATGCAGAGAAACAGATGGACTACAGTCTGTAACTGTAGAACTACAAACTGAAACTATATGATAAGTGGGGCAGATGAAATGGACAATAAGTGTAGAAACATGAAGGTGTTGTTAATAAAATGCTTTGATGAGTGTATAATAAGAAAAGCAAGACTAGAGGAAGATGATATAATACATGCAGATGATGCTACACAAACATTGGAAAATCAGGAAGATGTGTAGGCTTTTGTAAGGATAGTTAGAGAACAGAGTGAAAAGATGGTAGCTCAATATAAAGAAAAAAAAAACAAGTTATGACAATTGGACAGATGTCTAACTGTACCATTGATGGTGAAGATATAGAAGTGCTAAACAATCTTTGTTTACTTGGATCAATTATTAACAATAAAGGATCCAGCAGTCAAGAAACAACACCGATTTGTGTGTGACAGAACACATCTTCAAATGTAATCATGTGCCTCTACAAAGAATGATTAACATTGTCCAGAATACATTTTTTTTTCTGTGGTCCTTTTTGATTGGGAAAGCTGGACAATACAAAAGCAGGACAGGAAAAATATTGATACCTTTGCAGAGAAAATATTGATACCATTGAACTTTGATGTTGGCAAAGACTATTGACAGCACCTCAAAAATGGGATAGTTGATCAAGCCTCACCTTTCACTTAAAGCCCAGATTACCAAACTGAAGCTCTTATTTTGCAAATATTATGAAAATAATAAATTCAATGGAAAAGACAATTCTGCTTATATCAGTTGTAGATAAAAGAAGAGAAGAAAGGCCAGCAACAAGATGGATGGAGACAATCAGAGGAATCATAACAAAGCCATTAAAAATTCTGAAGACCTCAAAAGAAGACAGGACATGCTAGAGGAACACCATCCATCTGGTCACCAGGAGCTGGAATTAACTTTATGGCACTTATTAATAATTTACTTTTTCACAACTCTTTACTCTTTTTGCAGTAGCTCACCAAATAAAACTCACTTTTTGTATTTATTTCTCCTAGAAAATTACTGCAATTACATATGTTTTGTTATATACATGTTTATTTTCTTTGTGTGTATTAGAACAACACAAAAAAAACAGAGAAAAAAAGGCAAATTTGACATAATTTCACACAAAACTCCAAAAATGGGCCAGACAAAATTATTGGCACCTTTTCAAAATAGTGGGCAAATAACTTTGTTTCAAGCATGTGATGCTCATTCAAACTCACCTGTGGCAAGTAACAGGTGTGGGCAATATAAAAATCACACCTGAAACCAGATAAAAAGGAGAGAAGTTGACTCAATCTTTGCATTGTGTGTCTTTGTGTGCCACACTAAGCATGGAGAACAGAAAGAGGAGAGGAGAACTGTCTGAGGACTTGAGAACCAAAATTGTGGAAAAATATCAACAATCTCAAGGTTACAAGTCCACCTCCAGAGATCTTGATGTTCCTTTGTCCACGGCGCGCAACATAATCATGAAGTTTACAACCCATGGCACTGTAGCTAATCTCCCTGGACATGGACAGAAGAGAAAAATTGATGTAAGGTTGCAACGCAGGATAGTCCGGATGGTGGATAAGCAGCCCCAATCAAGTTCCAAAGATATTCAAGCTGTCCTGCAGGCTCAGGGTGCATCAATGTCAGCGCGAACTATCCATCGACATTTGAATGAAATGAAACGCTATGGCAGGAGACCCAGGAGGACCCCACTGCTGACACAGAGACATAAAAAAGCTAGACTGTAGTTTGCCAAAATGTACGTGAGTAAGCCAAAATCCTTCTGGGAAAACATCCAAGACCAAGATAGAGCTTTTTGGTAAAGCACATCATTCTACTGTTTACCGAAAATGGAATGAGGCCTACAAAGAAAAGAACACAGTACCAACAGTCAAATATGGTGGAGGTTCAAAGATGTTTTGGGGTTGTTTTGCTGCCTCTGGCACTGGGTGCCTTGACTGTGTGCAAGGCATCATGAAATCTGAAGATTACCAAAGGATTTTGGGTCGCAATGTAGGGCCCAGAGTCAGAAAGCTGGGTTTGCGTCCTAGGTCATGGGGCTTCCAGCAGGACAATGACCCCAAACTTACTTCAAAAAGCACCCAGAAATGGATGGAAACAATGTGCTGGAGAGTTCTTAAGAGGCCAGCAATGAGTCCGGAACTAAATCCCATTGAACACCTGTGGAGAGATCTTAAAATTGCTGTTGGGAGAAGGCACCCTTCAAATATGAGAGACCTGGAGCAGTTTGCAAAAGAAGAGTGGTCCAAAATTCCAGTTGAGAGGTGTAAGAAGCTTGTTGATGGTTATAGGAAGCGACTGATTTCAGTTATTTTTTCCAAAGGGTGTGCAAACAAATATTAAGTTGAGGGTGCCAACAATTTTGTCCGGCCCATTTTTGGAGTTTTGCATGAAATTATAGCATTTTTGGCTTTTTTTCTCTGCTTTTTGTGTTGTTCTAATACACACAAAGGGAATAAACATGTATAACAAAATATGTGTAATTGCAATAATTTTCTGGGAAAAATACTTCATTTTCTGGAAAAATTTCAGGGGTGCCAACAATTTTGGCCATGACTATGTTTTTTGTTTTTGTTTTGTGAAAAGTTCCCATCCATTTTTCAAGGCTGAAACTAACATCAAATTTGGTAACTAAACCACTGAATTTGATGGAGACTACAGTAACTATTTGTTTGTAATAAGTTTTTTTTTTTTGGATGTTTTTGAATGTTTTATTAAGCTGTGTGTAGATGCAGTTCTGTGTGAAGAAACTACTTACAGAGCTGATGTGGCTTCCTTGACTACCGGCAGCAGTCTGATAAGACACTCATCTGATCTGATGAACTTCTTTAAGTCAAACTCATCCAGCTTCTCTTTGGATGTCAGCAGCACAAAGACCAGAGCTGACCACTGTGCAGGAGAGAGTTCAGCTTCAGAGAGACGTCCTGAGCTCATGTAACTCTGGATCTCTTTCACTAGAGAATCATCATTTAACTCATTCAGACAGTAAAAGAGATTGACTGATCTCTCTGGAGATGGATTTTCCTTAAACTTTAACTTGATGTACTCAACTATGTCCTTCTGGCAGTCAGACCTGCTTCCTGTCTTTGTCAACAGACCTCGAATGAGCTTCTCATTAGATTCCAGAGAGAGACCCAGAAGGAAGCGAAGGAAAAGGTCCAGGTGTCCATGGTCACTCTTCAAAGCCTTGTCTACTGCAGTCTTGACAAAATCAATGAGTTCTGTTTTTTTGCTCTCCTGTGGTGTGGACTGATGGTCAAAAACATTATTGTTGTCATTTCTGAGAGATACATATGCAAATACAGCAGCAAGGAACTCTTGAATGCTCAGATGTACAAAGCTGAAAACTGTGCCAAGAAATCTGACTGTCTCCTGAGTGCACAGTCCTGAGTACACCAAAATCTTATTAGGGTCAATTCCACATGCGCCTAGATCTTCTGTATAGAAGATCAGATTGCTCTCTTCCAGGTGATGAAAAGCCAACTTTCCCATTGACATAATGCTTTCTTTGTCCCAGGGTACATCTGAATCATGCTTTCCAGTGTATTTCAGGTTCCCCTGTATGGTCTGAAAGATCAGAAAGCAGGTGTACATTTCTGTGAGTGTCTTTGGCGTATCCTCACTCCTTCCTTCTTGCAAAATTTTCTGAAGTACATTGGCAGAAATCCAACAGAAGACAGGGATGTGGCACATGATGAACAGGCTTCTTGACTGTTTAATATGACCAATTATTTTCTCTGCCAGGTCCTGATCACTGATTCTCTTTCTGAAGTACTGCTCCTTCTGTAAGTCATTGAAGCCACGTAACTCTGTCATTCGGTGAACATACTCTGCAGGGATTTTAGCAGCAGCTGCTGGTCTAGTGGTTATCCAGATCAGAGCAGAGGGAAGCAGATTTCCCTTGATGAGGTTCGTCATCACAGCGTCCAGTGGGGCTTCTTCTGAGATGTTGTTCAGGGTCTCATTTGTGTGGAATCTCAAAGGAAGTTGACATTCATCCAGACCATCAAAGATGAACATGACCTTGTACTTATCTGATAATCTCAATCCTTGTGTTTCCGGGAAGAAGAAATAGATGATGTCCATCAAACTCTGACTTCCTTTCTTCAGGTTCAGTTCTCGGAAGGGAAGTGGAAATATGAACTGGATGTCCTGATATTCTTTACCTTCAGCCCAGTCCAAAATAAACTTCTGCACACAAATTGATTTTCCAATACCCGCAACCCCCCGGGTCAGAACAGTTCTGATGTGTTTGTCTTCTTCAGTTAGAGGATCAAACATGTCCTTGCATATGATTTGCACTTCTTGTTCCATTTGATTTGTGTCTCTTGTTACGCTGTTTTTTTCAATGAGTCTCACTTCATGTTCTTTGTTGACCTGTCCAGCTCCACCTTCAGTGATGTACAGCTCTGTGTAGATCTTATTCAGAACAGTGGCCTCTCCTTGCTTTGCAATTCCTTCACATACATGATGACATTTTTTGCTCAGTTTAGCTTTGAGTGCATACTGTTGAATTCCAATCAGTTCATCTAATTAAACAGTTAAAACAAAAAGACAACAAAGGAAATCAGAAGGTAAACATACATCTCTGCCTGATGATATGGAGAATGTGTAAAATAAATGTATCTGTAACCTTACTGGAATAATAATAATAATAATAAAAATAATAATAATAACTGTGTGGTAAAAAAAAAGAATCAAAAAGACCACTTTCATTTACATTCTTTGCAAAGCTACATATACAGTTAGGAAACATGATATGTTGTCAACTCTTACCTTGCAGAACATTAGAGAGGTCCTCGTGTTTCATTTTCTTCAAAAAGTATTGTGTCATATTTAGAACTCCTTGCCTTAAATTCCACATGTCATCCTTCACATTTCCATAATATTTTGTGTTTCTTTTTGTTAGATGTTTCTTGTACATTTCCAACTCATGCTTTATGAACACAAATATTTTGTTCTCAAGCTCCTGAGGATAAAATAAGAAAGATAAAGAAAATGAATTAAAAGAAAATAAAAATTATGTTTCTTTAATTTTATTTTCTCTTCCTTGAATGTGTCATTATTTCACTCACTAGAGGCTTGTCTTATAAAGCAGGATTTCTTACTTTGCAAGCTGACTTAACTTTAGTTAGTTAATAATTAACATTTAACCCTGGATTTTCTGTCACATGACAGTGGATCACTTTTTTCCAAGCCACATCCCATGGTCAATTTATGTTGCATGCTTAACCTTCTGTGGGATAATTTAACCATAAATGGCTCTTGGACCAGTCATGAGTGGCCAAGTGAGCAAACTGACCAACGGGGTAACTGTTGAAGCTAGGCTGACTTTAAATTAGCTTGACCTGCTGCAGAGGTCCAGGCCATTAGCTTTGGATCACGCTTGACCACACATACTCCTGTTGGAAGTTGCCCTCTGGTGGATGTTTTAACAGAAAATATAAAATGAACTGGATAACCAAAGTCCCCTGGCTCCCAAGTCCACTCTGATGCAGTACCATTTGTTAAAAAAGAAAAATCCTCTGTATTAACTTTAAAAGCTGTGAATGGCAATGAAATCACACATGATGCATATGCTGGGCTAAACTTTGAATTTGCAGAGTCTGGATATCCAACCAAGGTGTGGTCTTTGCAAAAGATAAGGGACTACTAACCCCCTAATTGTGGGAAAAAAATTTATCTCCAAGTGTCGGGATGTCTTTTTCAGAAACAGATGACTGTCCATGTAATTATCAGACTATTGTGGCCTGGTAGAAGCCCTCCTTGGACATAGTACTGCTGGTACAGGGAGCACTGTGGCTGTGGTCACACTTTTATAGTACCAAAAAAGTTTCTTTCTTTGTTACAAGCTTGACATCGTAACTACAGCAGTAAACTTTCTGGTCCTATATAGAACCCTTTTCAAATAGGTTCTATATAGAACCATGTACAGCACATTCTCCATCAATCCAAAGAACAATTCCATGATGCAGAGGGCACTTTGAGTGTTCGTGTTTCTATACAGAACCATTTTCTTAACAAAAGAACCCTTGAAGAACCATCTTTTTTAACAGTGTAGGGCATGAAAGAATCGAATTTGATTGTGAAATGTGCATGCCTGCAAAGTGTTTATATGAAGAGTCTAGTAGTTGGACCTGGAAAGTAGAGAAAGTGCAGAGAGCCAATATCCCTGGACAACATGACCTCTGCTTAACCATAGGCAGAAAGGTATTTTCGAGGTCAGTGTTTGAAGCAACCCCTTCTCAAGCTTTGAGGGGAGCCAGTTTATCTCTCATCCAGATCTGACTGAAGCAGTGTAAAGATATTTGTGAACACTTGCACAAGTAGGATTTTGGCTGTACAGATCTGGGTAGTGTGTAGAGATTATATCTTTTGTCCCCAACAACAATGGAGTCTTACTTAATGTTCATTCTGGGCATTTTTCTACTAGTTCGTATGTTTCAGAACAAGTGTTTGTACTTGTGCTGTACAGATGTGTCTTGGTATGGGATAAACATGCAGGATTATTTTCTAGGTTTATTCAAATTCCAACAAATAGGCTTTGGAATGTCGCAGACCCTTTTCAGAGACTGATGCAGCATTGTTTAATGGGCCAAGTCACCACATTACTGCTAGTGTACATAGATTAATTTTTTGTCCATTCTGTGGATTCTTCTACCAGTATGTGCCGTTTGCAACAAGTCTTTGAGAGAATATCTGGCAGTACAAACTTAGTTTGAATTGCTATGTGTTAGCTCTTGCCTCAAGACATACGTCTCCTCACTTATCAGACTGAATTTGCACCCCTGCTTGGGCAGAAGCTTAGGGTACCAGCAGATAAACTTAGGGGTGATTACAGAACAGCCTAGATGGAATCTAAGTAGATGGGTTCAGCAATATCTTCAGAAATTTACATGGGTATATGCTGTGATAAGAGGAAGATGGATAGGGTACATATTATGCACAAGCTGATTGGGTGCTTCGATATATGACCTCTGTTCCTGAACCGAGGAAAGGATTGGACTATGCAAGACTGGTATTGGTGTATTTCTTGGCTTTTGTACTTTTTCTGTTTTTATGGATTTTCTGTGTCTTAGCTTTTAATTCCTCAAACAAATTGTTTATTTCTTTTTAAGGGTTAAATGTCACATACACCAGAAAAGGGGCAGTAGAGACAGCGTTTTGTTCAGGCTGAGATGACGTGCAAACCACCCCCCACGCCCAGCATACTACTGGCAGATGTTGTTCCCGCGTGCTTCAAACTGGCCACCATTGTGCCAGTTCCAAAGTCAGCCAGGGTTAATACTCTAAATGACTGGCGCCCAGTTGCTCTGACCTCCATCATAAGCAACTGCTTTGAGAAGCTGGTTAGAGACTTTATCTGCTCTTCACTACCTGCCACTCTGGACCCACTGCAGTTTGCTTACAGACAAAACAGATCCACTGATGACACAATAGCGCTGACTCTACACACTGCCCTCTCCCATCTGGACAGAAAGAACAAATATGTGAGAATGCTGTTTGTGGACTACAGCTCAGCATTCAACACCATCGTGCAAGGCTCGACATTAAGCTTCGGGATCTGGGTGTGAACAGTTCGCTCTACAACGTCCTGACAGGCCGACATCAGGTGGTAAGGATGGGCAACATCATCTCCTCCTCACTGATCCTTAACACCAGAGCTCCTCAGGGCTGTGTGCTCAGCCCTCTGTTGTACTCTCTGTACACTCATGACTGTTCAGACAGACACAGCTCCAATGTCATCATCAAATTTGCAGATGACACAAAGATTGTGGGCCTGATCTCCAATGACAACGAGGAGGCCTACAGAGAGGAGGTCAGCTTTCTGACACACTGGTGCCAGGAGAAAAAACTCTATCTTAATGTTGACAAAACCAAGTGCACACCCCTATCACCATCAATGGGGCCACTGTAAAGAGGGTCAATGCCTTTTCCACCTCAGGCGGCTGAGGAGGTTTGGGATGAACTCCCGCATACTCAAAACATTTTACACATGTACTGTGGAGAGCATTTTAACAGGGTCCATCACCACCTGGTATGGGAATTGCACTGCCATCATGCGGAAAGCTCTGCAGAGGGTGGTGTGGACAGCCAAGCACATCACAGGGGTCCAGCTCCCAAACCTCCTGGATTTATACATCAGCTGCTGCCTGAGGAAAACCAGAAGGATTCTAATGGATTCCACCCACCCAAGCCACTTTCTGTTCTCACAGCTGCCGAGCAGGAGGAGGTACAGAAGCATAAAGTCAAGAAACAGCCGGTTCCGAGACAGTTTCTTCCCCTGGGCCATCAGGCTGCTGAACAGCCAGTAGTGCTGGTGTATTGGTCTATGAGCCTGTCCTCTGAGTCATCATCATGATGATCTCCACAGACAATCCACACCACATCCACACCTCAACGGACTCACTCTCATCTTACTGTAAATTTAATCTAGCAACTCTATACTTGCACATATAGACTGACATCTTGTACATCTTCTATCCAAATCTTGCATAATCTAGAATATATGTAATCGATATTCATCGATTACATATATTCTAGATTATGCAAGATTTGGACAGAAGATGTACAAGAATCGTCTGGATGGTAGCATGTGTTGGCAAAACATTTACATATCGTTCAACATTAATGGTACCTTCACAGATGTACAGGTCACCCATGCCTTGAATCCATCAGGAATGCAGACTTTTGAACTGTGACTTTTGAACTATTTGCAGAGTGCACATAACTTTTAGAGGAGTTTTTTTTTAAATCCTACTCTTCACCAAAACAATATTTTCACTGGGTGGTTCACATTGTCACCCTTTCTGTCTGTGAGCAATGAAAGACAAGCCGCTTGTAGTCTTCCCCCCTTGTGGTTAAGCTGAACAGGAATAAACCATTTAAGAGAAAAAAAAGGGGGAAATAAACATCACAGCCACAGCCCTTCAATAGATATCTTTCATTTGTAAACAATAAACAAAAGGCATCAAACAGGTCACAAACATTAAACATCAAAATAAAAAAAGAAAGAAAGTAGAAAAAGAAAGAAGTAGTAAAAGTTTTTATTTCCCCCCCTCTAACATGGACCAATTTGTATGGTCCATATGAGTTTATATGGGCATGCCTCAACTTGCCCTGGGACTATAAAAGCCAGGTAAACCATTCAGACTCTTTCTCTGCTAGAGCTGAAATGCTTACACCCCACCTAAGTATGAACATTAACATGTATAAATGTATTAGTAGTGTCTTCCTCTGACAAGCAAATTAGTTGTATTATGAAATAAAACTGATACTGTAGTAAATAGCCCAGCTAGTATGTAACAGGGATAAAGAGGCTGTTTAGGAACCAGAGACAGAATATGTGTGTGTGTGTGTGTGTGTGTGTGTGTGGTGTGTGTGTGTGTGTGTGTGTGTGTGTGTGTGTGTGTGGTAAAGACAACAACTAGAGAAAATTAAAAATAAGTGCTAGCCTGGCAGACACATTCTGTCAAACCATCCAAGTGCACATGTATTATTCATGACCTAGTCTGGTGTGCAACACCAGTGGTACCAAAAAGGTAAGCCTACAGCTCTAAATACAAGTCTGTTTTTTGTTGCATTGTTTTTTTTGTTTTTCTTTTCCCTGTGTGATTAACCAATTATCCATTCAACAACAGATACCTGAATATCACAAATTTTTGGCAGGCAAATCCCTAGACTTCATGGCCTTAGATTAATCCACCTTTCAGAACCTTTTTTGTATTTTATTAAGGTACACAGACTGTTAAAACTACCTTTCCTATCCTATTGTTTCATTTGCTGCTTTTCTATTTCTTGATGCAAAGGAACTTCTGTTTCTGTTATTCTCTTTCATTTTCATTTATAGTGTAACATTATATTACTATATTAGCAATCATATTGGTTTTGTACTAGTAAACTATATAGTACAACTAACATTTAATTTTTTTTACACACTGTTGAGCACAATGCTATTTTTTTTTTTGTTACTTGATGTCGACAGGAACAAACGTTCGCAAATGCTTAGGTTAGATCTCATGCAGTGTTTATGAATATGGGCGACTTATGAATAGCTATTCATAGGAAGCATTACTAAATATACTTTAACTCTTACTTTAAAGATGTTCGGCAGTCTTTTAATCTTCTTTTGAAGCTTGTCACTTGTCACAGCAAACTCTGACCCCGTATCATCACTGCAGGCAAAATACATAAATGTAGTCAAAATTCAAAACCTTCCACTACAGTCTTTTCTTCTTAAATCAGACACTGAGATACAGAAACTGGTTATTAATATGTCTCTTTATACCTTTCTGTTGTGGGTGTTTCTGTCTTGCTGACACGGAACAGAGGATGTTTTGACTGCTGAGCGGAGTCTGAATTATGTCTAAAGAAAAAATGAAAATAGAAAACAACATATTGCATTACAGACTAACTGGTTTGTTGTTGCTGACAATAAAAAGATAGATATTTACTGCTAAGAATGAACAAAAAGAATGTAAAGGAACACCTTTCTTGAGAGACTGATTCTACTTTGAATTTGAGAGGTTCCATCATTGATTGGTCACTCTTCAAAGACACACTACTGGACACAAAGGAATCTGGTCCTACTGTTGTTCCACTGAAAATCAGAAAGAAAGACATGTTAGCAAATTGTATTTAATAAAATACAGTGACTTATATTACTCACATAAATCCCTTGAACCCATTCCACTTGACTTCATTGTACGGTCTCCAATCCATTATAAAAAGGTAACAAATAAAGCCAAAATAAAAAGACTGAAAATAATCACATTAATATATGACATATAGTAACATATTTGTCTTTGTTTTGCTGTATTAGATATGACCTTTGTCAACACCTGCTTTAAGACTATGTTTCAGTTGAATTTTATTTGTACAGTAACAGACACTCTACTGCATGTAGAATCTAATATGGATGACATAAGATGATCATGAAAATAAAGGAATACCTTTCCTGAGGGACTGATGCTACTTTGAATTTGAGAGGTTCCATCATTGACTGATTACTCTTCAAGGACACACAGCTGGACACAGGGGAGTTTGACCTTTCCTCAGTTTCGCTAAAATCAGAAAAAAAGCTGTGGTAGCAATTTTATTTAATAAAATCCACCGATCCTCATTGCAACTTTTTGAACCCATTCAATAATTTAAATATTTAATCTGTTGCCAGTGTGGATATAATTTCACACCACATCATTTTACAAGCTACATATACATTATATATTTAATTTTTCCAAGCCTGCTGCCTCCCATCTTCTTTCACCCTCCTGCTCCTCATCTTCCTCAGCACTCCTGCTCCTCATCTTCCTCAGCACTCCTGCCCCTCATCTTTCTTGTAGTTGAGATTACATGTATGATTTATGTGTGTTATTTAGTGTTGGATCTGTGAGGTGGGGTCACATGTCAGGATAAAGTGCGTGGCTAACCATGCCCTTCCCCTCAAGTTCAGCATTATGTATGTGCCTTTCCTGTGTGTTCAATAAAGAGCACTTCTCGCAGCACCACGGGCCTGGGCCAGTGGGTAGTTAGATGTTGGCTGAGGAGGTTCAGCGGTAGCAACGAACGGCAGGCCAAGTGTGGCACGGAGTACAGACGGCTCATCATGCTCGCCCCATGAGCTTGCTAATATCTCTACAGCAATCAGTGTGTTCTTGCACTGAGAGGGGCACATCAAACAGGTGGAAGGTGACCATCATCCAGCTCAGTTCAGACAGCAGTAGTGGATTTGGAACCCCAGCACACACAAGCATTGTTTGGGACAACATCGCTGATGCAGTGGGTGGCAGTCAGAGCAGAAGGGCCGGGATGAGTGCTGCTGTTGCTGGCCCCACCCCAGCTATGCGGGGAGCTCCACAATATGCCACAGGAGTCATGACAGTGGGGCGTGGCCCCAGAAGAGGACTAGGAGTGCTCGCTGCCAAGGAGCAAGTGCCCCGTGCTGTATGTTCAGATGGGACTGTGCATGTGCGCAAGAACTTGGCTCAAGCTGGTAGGTCTCCAGGGACCAGCTGACCTTTGAAGGGTCATCCTTGACATTCTCGCTCCTCATCTTCCACAACATTCTTGTTTCTCGTCTTCCTCAGCACTCAGCACATATTATTATGAATTTTTTCCTTTTCTCTTTTTTGCTTAACAGTTTCATTTCTCAGTTTGTTAATGCAGACAACAAAAAGATACATCGACTGACATGCCAAAAGTCATGGGACAGGAACTCGTATCGTGTAGGACGCCCTCTAGCTCTGCAAAGTGCAGCAACTTGAAGTGGCATCGATTCCACCACTGAATAGAAGAAGTCTGGAGGGATGTTGAGCCATGCTGTCTGGATAGCCACCAGACATTATTTGTAGGTGCAGGTATTTGTAGGTGCAGGATCTCTGGTGTGAAAGGACCTCTCCACCACATCCCATAAATGCTTGATTGGGGCAAACATACAGGCCACATCATTTGTCAGAACTCTCCGTCAGAGTCTCAGAGGTATCAAAACTTTGAAATTAATTGACATACTGCTATCCCATGACTTTTGGCATGTCAGTGTATTTATTGATAAGAATGAACAAGAAGATAAAGGAATACCTTTCCTGAGGGACTGATGCTACTTTGAATTTGAGAGGTTCCATCATTGATTGGTCACTCTTCAAAGACGCACAGCTGGACACAGGGGAGTCTGGCCCTACTGTGCCTCCACTGAAAATCAGAAAGAAAGACATGTTAGTAAATTGTATTTAAAAAAAGAGACATGTATTACTCTCATAAATCCCTTGAACCCATTCAACTTGACTTCACTGCAGGGTCTCCACTTCATTATAAAAGACTCACAAATAAAGCCAAAATAAAAAACACATATAGACTGAAAATAATGACATTAACATGTGGATCTAATATGGATGGAGTGAACATGAAGAAGAAAAAAGAATACCTTCCCTGAAGGACTGATGCGTCTTTGAATTTGAGCGGTTCCATCATTGACTGGTCACTCTTCAAAGACGCATAGCTGGACACAGGGGAGTGTGACCTTTCTTCAGTTCTGTTAAAATGAAAAAGAAAGCTGTGGTAGCAATTTTATTTAATAAAATACACTGATTCTCATCGCAACTTTCTGAACTCATTCAATTGTTTAAATATTTAATCTGTTGCCGCTGTGGATGTGAATTTTAAACTACAACATCATCTTATTGAGCAGCGCAGCTCGTCATCTTCCTAAGCAATGCAGCCTCTCATCTTCATCAACAGTGCTGCTCTTTATCTTCCTTAGCACTCTTGCTCCCCATCTTCCTTGACAGTGCTGCTCCTCATCTTCCTCAGCAATGCTGTTAATTATCTTCCTTAACACTCCCACTCTTCATCTTCCTCAGTCCTTCTCTTCCTGCCTAATCATGAACAGTACTGAATAGTATTTAATTAGCTGCCTCTGAACATAGTTGAGAACTTGAATGCAATACTGAGACTGATTTAGAAGGAAACAGTGTACCCCATTTTTCAAAGGCACACAAAACCCTTTAAAGCCCACAATTTTTTTTTTGACATAAATTGTCCTATATCACCAGATTCAGCAGAGCCTCAGCAATGAAAATGTCTGTCAGTAAATATTTTTTCACACTACATTTGTGAATTAGACCATAAAACCACAGTAGCACAAAAAATAACTTAATTTTGTTGTGTTTTTGTTGAAAAAAAAAATGTAAACCATTACATCAGAAGAAAGTTTGAACATAAGAATTGCACAAAACATTTTGACCTAAATTACAAGTTCTTTTTTTTAAGTATTTACTTCTTTTTGTTTTAAAGTTATATCCCTTCCTCTGGGCGGTGTCCTGCATTTTAATGGAATATTGCTTATGTATGAAATAATTCTCACACTGTGCATTGTTCCGTGCTGGAACAGCAGTTCTAGAGCCTCATCTGTAGAAAATATCCTCTTAGCTATATTTTTATTTTTGTGTTTTTTTGTTTTTGTGTTTCTTGCTTGTCTCTTTCCTCTCTCTCAAAGCTGCCCAAAGACACTCCCACCTCAACTTTCTCTGAATCCAAGCAGTTGTGGCTGTCTAACCAAAGCCAATCAAATGCAGAATGTGGACTACACATCACAACATGTCACAAATAAAGACGGTGAATTGAAACTAATCTGTAAACAAAATTAATTGACCATTGTGCCACATGCATGGAAAAGGTACACCTATATTCTATAAATGTACGCTGTAGGTTTATGTAGGAAGAAAACGACCCACAACAACAAACTCAGGCTTGTGTTTTAGTGCTGTTTCTCTAGTTTCAAGGGGAAAACGTACCTCTCAGGCTCACAATACTGAAGAGCATTGATGCTTTAAAGATATTTTATCTTGAGAAATATTTCTAAAGGGTTAACCAAAAAATATTAAAAATATTGACACTTTGCACCTTACCAGTTTATCAACTCTCTATAGCAACTATGGGCATCCACAGCACAGACATCCACAGAACATTTATACAGCCTAAGAAAATCATTCAGTAGGGCATTCCTAGTAGAAGTGCTATGTCTAAGCATGCATCTGAGATAGAGTTTAGAAAGAGCCAGAACAAGTTAAAAGAATACCTTTCCTGAGGGGCTGATCCTCCTTTGAAGTTGAGAGGTTCTATAACTAAGTGGTCACTCCTCAAGGGCACACAGCTCGACACAGGGCAGTTTGACCTTTCCTCATTTCCACTGAAATCAGAAAGAAAGGTATGTTTGCCCCTTGTATATACTTTGATTCTCATTGGAATATACTTTCTGAACATGTTAGAATTTGACATTTATTCATAACTGATGTTTAGTATGTTACAGATTACATTCTTTTAAAACTTACTAAAACTTATTAGGTATTATGCTAGCTAGCACACTTGCTAGGTAAACATCAGACTAACCATAAGAAAGTTGTTTCAGCACTTTTCGTTAAACGCTGCATTTACTGCATGTAGTTCTTTAGTTCTGTCTTTCTCATTGACAGTTCAAGACCCATTATGTGACTACACTAAATTATCTCCTACTATAAGTCTTATGCTGGAGTAATATGTTATAACAAACACAGAATGAAAAGGTGTCAGCGAGGAGATAAATCAGAATAAAGGGTCTCAGTGTTGTATATGATTACCTTTTAATATCACAGTGCTCTTCCGGGATACTCATTTCAGAGGTTATGATTTTCCCAGACTCCCTTGCCATTATTTCAGTCCTCAGTGATCAGCACAAACTGCCCACATACAGCCATTCAGCTCCATCTAGTGGAAAAATAACAGAAAAACATGAAATGGTCCAGATTATTATGAGACGGTTCAGTGGTTTAATTGAGCATTATGCATTTCTACAGATACCACAACTGTATATTTTATTTATTATTATTATTATTAGTAGTAGTAGTAGTAGTAGTATATTATTATTATTAGTAGTAGTAGTTGTAGTAGTTGTTTTTGCAGTTTAGTGGGCTATTAGTAATTAACGGCTGCTAAAAGTATACAAACTGCAGTTTATATACTTTTGAAGGGGCAAGAAAAAGATTAGTAAAGTTGTGTAATGTCAAGAAAAACACCTGGTGGAACATTTCACCATTTCACATTTAATTAAATAGCAATTTTCATTTCTTTTTTAATGAGATTTTAGAAACTGTCATATTGAACAAACTAAACTTACCCTAATTATCATTAATCAGCTAAGTGATATCTAGCTAGGACTAATCTAGAGTGCCTAATGAACATGCATTCACTGTACTGCATAAAAAGAAGCTATTGTGATTAAAAGTTGCAGTAATTGTTAGTATTAACTTTGGTTGAAATGTCAGCGGATTTTACATAATAAGTATTTAAACACCTGCCAAAAATATACTCTCTCCTTATCTCTGGGGTGCAAGGCCTGATTCAAATCAAATTTATTTTGGTGACTTATCTTGGTGTGTAGGTTATACCTCATAAAGCATAAAGTCTTTAGGTTCAACGGGGAGGATTTTATTTTGGGGCTAGGCTAGTTCTCTACTGTATTTTGTACTCTATTTTAATCAGTGTGTTATTGGACGCTACAGATTACACTCATGATTTTGGTGGTTTCTATGTGTAAGTAACAGTTAATTTTCCTTCACGACCTGAAGGAGCGTTCTCAGACATTAGCCTTTTTAAATTTAATATAGGCTATTTATTTTCTATCAATTTTAATTTACATGTTGATGTATTGTGCAGCTGTATTGTGGGCTCTCTTTGTGTCTGTAGCTCCTCAGCTAACTTTTGCTTGGAGATGTTAGAATGCTAGCTAATGCTAACCAGCTCCTCTCTCATAGTTTATAGAACTGTCCGTACATGCATTCGTCTAAACTCGGGCCATCTGGCTCTGGGCTATCCCCCCACCCCCCACTCCCCGGTTAGACTGTCTTTTTAGGGTGGCAGGACCTTTAGTGCTACGGCCCCCGAGCTGTGGAACTCCTCGCCTCTCGTATCTCTTCACATATCGTATCATTCTTACCTTTCCTTTGATCTTGTGCGTCAGAGCAGCTCGCGCTCCTGTGTGGACTAAAGTACACTGTATCTACCCGGAGTCGGTCACATCACAGCCTCTTAGGGATTATATTAATCCTGTATCTGAGTTCCTGTCCGAGTAAATGTTAATAAGCGCTGCGGGCAAACCGAGCAGCTCCTCTAAACCAGCTCAGTTTCACTTTCGGTTTAGTCACGCGCGTCACGTGACTCACATAAGCTTTCCTCTCCAGCCCCATTATGTGAGTTCATGCGGTCTGTCTGTGCTGACACCAAATCACGTCTCACCAGCAGAAACGGAAGAATCAGCAGAGTAGAGATACACACATTCTTTATTCTGCTTTTTGCGTGAGATGTTTTTTTTTTTTTCTAATCTAATGCAATTAAATCCAATTTAATGCTTCATTCATTACTGAACAAGATTTCATAATTAGCCTAATGAAAAAACATCCACCATGTAGTATATTTGCTATGAATGTAATACAATTAGATGTTTTTAATGACCACATTTTTGTTTCTGTTGTACTCCCACTACTTTCAAAATAATAGGCTAATAATATACCAACTATGACTACCACTAAATACTACTAAAAACATAATAATACAGGGATGCCTTACAGTTGGTTGACAGTATCAGTATATAGAAACACACAAAAAACCAAGACATAAAATCTAACAAATATGATCAGGAGCGCTTTAACCTGCTTGGGGGCCCTGGAGCTAGATGTGGTCGTGGGCCCTATGGGTCTAGATACACCCAGCGTCCCAAAACTCTAAATCTGCTTTTTTTCAACTTCCAGCACTGCCATTCAGAATCTCTTCATTACTGCACAAATTTTTGATTTTAGCTTCTTATCCACCAGGTTCTTTTTTGAATTTTCCATTCCACCTTAAATGATACAGCGGTCACTGAAAATTCAAAAAAGAAGCTGGTGAATGGGGAGCTAGTTTCAGTCTTACTAAACTTAAACCCAGGACCAAACCACTAAAAGCCACAGTTGGTCAAAGTCTGAAATTTGTACTGAACTTGTGATGAACTTCAAATTGAGCTCATATTTCCTAACATCAGCTAGCTGTGCTCTGGCCAATCTGTCGGGGAATGCTTCTCCAGTGGTGCGTGGTACAGTTAAAACCATCAATATCAGCAAAACAACTGAGGTCCATTACACACTGTAGTCTGATTTGGTGGCCTAGGCAGAAATCAATAATCGGCTAGGCCTGTCAAAAAGTGTGTAGGCCCACTTGGTAGACACAGCTTCCAAACACACAGACCCAAATAAAAAGATGTGGCCTAATTAAAACTTAAAAACCTAAACTCACTCATCATAGATAAAGCATACGGCCATGGCAAATAAATAAAATCTTTATTCTGGTCTTTTCTCTGAGAGATGTTTGTTTTGACATTTCACAAAGCCCATTTCAGTCATTATAGTCATTGTAGTAAAAGAGCATTGTAAGTACCAAATTCACAGGAAACTGATGATGACAGTAGACATTGATGTACTCTCACCTTTACACATACTCAGTTAACCTACATCTTTTAACCACAACTGGAACTTCAGATTCAAACACTGGCATGCTCAGGGGTTGCATCACACCTTCAAAAGTGGTGGGGTAAAACTTATTCTTTCCAAAAAAAGTGGCAAAATGAAGTTAGGCCACTGACTAAAACTACCTTTAACATCATGCTAATCTCTAAATATATTAAATATATAATCTCTAAAAATATATGCAGGTATAACAGGTTTTCACTCTGAAGAACATCACAATGTTTTCAAACCCAGCTCATTTCCTAAAGTACACACAAATTTTGCAGGGAAGCAAGCGCTCTGTAACTCACATGTTTGCCAACATAAAAATAGAAGAAATAGAGATGGTTGTTGTCTATGTGTATCACAATCAGCAGTAGTAATAGACCTTAATTGATATCAGCTTTTTATGATTGGTTTACCAATTTGAATGTGACAAATTAGGTTGCTGATGCTTAAATACACTCTGCAGTCCATGTGCCAAAATCAAACATGTCTTTGCTATTATTTTATTGCTTGTCAGCCTTGAGCTGTAGGAATGATATGAACATCTTTAAAGAGTAAAATGTTAAAGCAGACGGTACAATGCTGATGAGCACTGAGAAAAGCTTACTTGGTATAATTTATTCCCTCCTGAATTAAGACAGGTCAGGACCTGAATATGGGTGGAGTGTTCACGCTAAAACGAGCTAAACTAAAGAAAACATTCAATAGATCTGCACCAACCAAGGTAGGTCTGAAAGTGATCTTAGTTTAGTAAGAGATAATAAAACTGACATGTAGTAAATCCACGAAGTGTAGTTACACAAACTGTGACCCAGTGATTTAGTTTGTGCATTGCAGTAAAAGTGTTTAACAGAGCAGTGAGCTACAGCTTCTCTCAGTAAACAACAACTCATGAAGGCTTTATTGTTTGATAAATGTCCCACCCCTGAGCTGAATGGGGATTCTGATTGGTTCTGCTGCTGAATTTGACTTTCTGTCTGTTCATGCTGGTCAGTGCCCTGTGTAGTTCAGATCAAGCAGAGATTTTTATTTTTATGTAAGCATCCTGAACTCAGTCAGAAAGCGGTGGGTTGTCGCCCCAGCACTTTAAAAAGTGATAGGTCAAATGCACGCTCGCACCTGTTGTTCTGGAGGCCCTGGGTGTGCTGATAACAAACTGAGCTTGAGGCAATAGCAGATAGCAATGGTTGTTAAGCAGTGTTTGGAGGATTGAGAAAATAAGGCAGAGCTTGGCAGAGAGTGTTATAATGTGATTAGCCATAGTAACAGTAACAGTGCTCACATAAAACAATTCATTTCGAATTTCATTATCTTATGGGTAGACGTGTTATCAATCTGGGTAGTGGGAAAAAAATTAACATAAATAAAATCACACTGATGTGATCCTGATAATGCCCTTGACTATATAAACTTTCCAACCCCCTTAAAGGTTTATTACCTGACCTTTAAAGGGGGGGATCAATTTTTCTTTTTTATTTACATCCTTATCTGATAACTGGCATTTAATTTGGGGTAAGGGTGTAGACATAAGAGCAGGAATCGTAAGTGGGTATTTGTAAATGGCTATTAATTTATTTTATTTTTGTTATCATACACTTTAGTCATACATATCATACAGTGACGGTGCTCACAGCGCCAGTCTTAGCACTCAAAACATTTTTTTTGGTTGGCTTTCATGGTTGGCTTTAATGTTGTTTGTACAGATTATTCCCAACGATGTAGCCAAGTCAGCTCAGAAATATTTTCAGGTTTTGAAAAAAATTTCCATTACGAATACTATTACTATTATCACTACAGTAACAGTCAGCCCTGGGTCATCAAGTTATTGGCTCCTGGGCACATATGTTTCGTGGGCCTTTATATGGCTAACTTTTTTTGGTGGTCAGGGATTTTTTGAATATATCACAGTAAGTTACATTAGGGCTCTGCAGCAAGAGGAAGTCCACCCATTTTTCAAAATCTCAGCATTATTCAGCATTTGAGATGTAAACAGAGTGATTCAGAGTCGTTTGGTGTGAAATGGTTCAGATTTCTTTACAGTGGTGGTGATAGGAACTAGATGTCACCATGACTACAACACAAACATAGACATTTTATTTACTGTCCAAAACCACTGTTTTAGACTGAAATCTTTTCAAAACTATCATAAAACAACATCTCAGACATCAGGCAGTGAATTCATAACCATTTCATGTAGTAACTTTCTGTGAGGGAGCTTTTAGAGGTGGACGTCTGGTTCCTGTCACCACCACACTCTAATTTTCATAAAAAGCAAGAAGAAATCAGTATATGCAGTAAATTTACTGCTCAAGTTTATTGCATTTACAGAATAATGTGTATTTTCAAAATCCTGAGGATCAGTCCTTTTATTTGATGTATGATTGTACGTTTTGCAATACAATTAGGTTCATAAATATATTACATATCTCTGAGCTAGGTATTAGCTCGTAGCTTATTTGCAGCAAAATATTCATGAGCTGTCTCTAAATTTGCCAAAATGATCTACTTGAATAGACAGAAGAGAGTTAGTGCCTTCATACAATACGTCCCTCTCAGATGTGTCTAGTGAAATATGATTCAAGGTCTTGATCTGACAAACCAGATCTAAACAAATCACTCAATTTGAAATCTGTCACAAACTGAATATGGGTGAAGGTCCCTGATTAAAGGAACTGGTCAGTCTCCTAATCTGACCCATCTAGAGGCCAAAACTCAGACAACAGACTACGATTCACAAGGTTAACCGTCCATTATTGATACTCACAGCTTGGAAACATTCATTTCACATCATACGGATACACTGTATGTAAATATTTACTGCTTGGAATGATAAAATGCATCTTCATAGTTTGTTCTTTTCCAAAGAGAGATGAGAGCACATTACATGTGTAGTTTAGTGTCTGAGTGAAGATGACAAAATGAACATAACTGCCACTTTGTACATGAGAGGTTTTGCCAGTAAGAACAGTTTTATAGAGAATTTTTTGATTAATTACAATTACATTCAGCTTTCATTAACAAAAGCTATTGTGTTTTTCATTAAAATCATTTTGGTGAAACTTTTTTTACATTGTAATTCCGATCATTAAAATAGATGCTTGTGGAAAAATATTTCTGTGACTGCAGTTAAAGCAAACTCCTACTTCTCTGGTCACTAAGCTTGCAATGCAAATAACTAAGACAAAATACTGACTTAGAATTTTTTGTTTTCATTGCAAAAATGCTCATCGCTGCCAGTGTCAACAATCACAGTATGATATCTTAAAGGGAAACTTAACCGACTTTTCAAAAACTCTACATGAATGGTTAAGATGTAAACAGAGTGGTTTGGTGTGAAATGCTCTGTTCTAGATAAACTTACCGAGTCAGAACTGTTCACAGTGGTGGTGATAGGAACCAGACGTCCACCTCTAAAAGCTCCCTCACAGAAAGTTACTACATGAAATGGTTATGAATTCACTGCCTGATGACTGAGACACTGTTTTATGATAGTTTTGAGAACTTAAACTCCATTCATGGTGGAGGGATACATGCAGGGTGCTGTGAGGCAAAATAGTCCCCAAAGAAAACTTATTATTTCAGATTGTCCACTATTTTCCATCATCAACATTCCATATAAACTCAGAAGACTCGTGTAGGTTCACTGGTGGTTTTGGATAGTAAATAAAATGTAAAATTTGTGTTGTAGTCATGGCGACCCCTGGTTCCTGGTACCATTTCACACCAAACCACTCTGAATGACTCTGTTTACATTGCAATGATGGAGTCATGCAAAAATTTGGAAAAATTGGTGGAGGTCCCCTTTAAAATTACTAACTATGGCAAATATTACTCCTTTATGCTCTGAAAGCCATACATTACTGTGCAAAAGACTGAACATCTGGGAAAATGATCTATAAAGCAATATATTTATGAAAAACTACATTAGATTAAACACAGACAATACATTGTAATTGTTCTGTGTGAATGCTCGTTTAGTATTTTCTGCGCTCTCCTCGAGGAAGTCTAGTGTTTACAGTTGCATCTAGTTTATCTAAGCCAGGGCTGGAGACCGGACACTAATTCAACTCATCAGCTAGTTAGTGGGTTTAGCTGGTGTGCTTGAGGAAGGAACTCAGCAAACTGTGTTGCACTGCTTGATGTCAAACCTGCATAAAACTTACCAAAAAAGTAATTTTTGTGTTCACAGAATTTCTGGCCAGTTCTAAAATGCATATGATTGTTTAGATGAACTGATTACAGAAATCTTGACAATATTGTGAGACAATTTCTCACATTTTACTTTCACTTTGTTCTTTAGATGAAATGCAGTTTTTTTCTCCTTAAAGAAACATGAAGGTAGAGTTTCACCTCATTAAGACTAAATCGGTTATCAGTTGGTATCATCTTATGCTCTACTTGGTTTTACATGATTATATGGAATTGATTCAGATGATGGTGTATGATAGGATTTAACAAAAAAGGTTTGGGCCCGAAGCTCATTATAATATTACTATTTAATATTGCACATTTCATTATAAAACAAATCGCCTCTATTAGAGCTGCCATTTTAAATTAGAAAAAAGAGAGTGTTGAGAAAGCCACGTTTTTCCCGCGAAAAACTTCACTGCACTGGGATTGAACTTCCTTATCACTTTTGGTTTGTTTATGTAAGTTGAATGCATGAAATCATGACTTTATGGCTACGATCCACTTAGTCTCATTTTGTTGGTAATATTTAGACACTCTGATTACAGCTGAGGATAAATTGCCAGTCTTACCTTTTCTTTTTGTGTCTCAGCATGACTTCCGGTTCTGTGTGGAACACATCGTGTCTGAAGGTTCTTCAGATGTTGATAAAATGAGCTGCAGATGCTGAAATCAGTGCAGAATAATGTTGGCTGTCTGTCTGTAGGTTCCTGTAACAGATAAGATTGTAAAGGACGTGGAATAGCGGTGAATATCTGCGCTTTTCTTCACTCATTTGACTTTCGGTCTTCCCCTCGAGCCTCACATTACAGATACTTCCTGTTCAATGCTCACTTCCTGCCCTTGTTTCTGTGCTGTAAACAACATCTCAGGCCTAAGAAATTCCCCACAGAGTTCAGTCTGGCCTCTAATGATCCTGAACTCCTGGTTTGTTCTTGTTCAGTGTTCCAATGAGGAGTTGAAGATTAATTATTTAAAAGATTGAAGAAGATCTTTTACTTTAAAATGTTAACAGAGGTCAAATTCCAGTCTTCAGTGTCTCCACACTACACTTATACAGTCATATGCAAAGGTTTGCGCACCGCTGGTCAAATTCCATGTATTTGTTGATTTTCAAAGTGTAAATCCTAATACTATTAATACTAATGCATACTAATAAATACTAATATTAAGCATAATAATACTTATACTGTAAAAACACCTCTACTGAGAACATACTTCTGCACATTTTAATACACAATTATTGTTTATTTACCAACTTCTGCGTATCGGAGGAAACAATAAGACATACTGTTTGGCCTCTGCAAAAGTTATGGCACATTTAATTTTTTTCCAATATGTTAAACTGTATTTGAAATAGTTTTGAAATTTTGTGGTAGTATGAGGGAAGACTGATTGAGGGAGGGGGAGAACTCTGAGAACTTGGGCTGGAGTTCTGGGCAGCTTCTGCCTGTAGCTAGAAGGCCAGACTGCACATTATTCTGACCTGAAGCCCACCTCTGTTCCCCCAAAAACTGACCTTTCCTTTTTTTATTGTTATCTCTGTACTTCCCTTGATAAATAGATTGAAATAGAACTTACTTGAAAGTAAGCTTGATTAATTGTAAAAAGTGACAAATTCCATTCACTGTTTATCGTAAATAGTAGTAATTAAAATATTTTATCATTTCATTCATTTATTAGAGCTCAGTAAATTACAGCTGTTACATCAATGAAATGTTGCTGTTAGGCATTGCATTTCATAATTTTAAACATCCCTTGAGTTTTCATAATATCAAAGGTGTATCCATATACAATTTAAACATTGTTTTATTATTATTGTTGTACAAATATCATTTGAATATTTATGTAACAATTTTATATAGGAAATGATTAACAGTGTAATAAAGAAACATGACTAGCATTGGAGTGTTTTTGTTGTCTTGTGTAAACTATGGTGATTGTTAGAGGAATGTAGAGTAATAATTAAATTGAATTTATTACAATAAATCAGTTTTCAATAATGAACAATATAAAACAGATTTAATGTAAGTATAAATAGATAATTGCTATTTACAAGATTTACATTTTGTCTTCCAGACAATATACATCCTCTGATAGGCTTTTTTGGGGTTGGAGGCAGTGGGAGGCTAACACTTCTTCCATGTTCAGAAAAGCCCAGCAGACAATGTCACTTTGGATAACATCAGCTGACTAAATCTAAATGCAATACATCACAGGTTCCCAACACTGGTCCTTCAGGACCCTGCCCTACAAATTTTAGTATTGTCCCTGTTCCAAACACACCAACTTCAAGTGATGAAGGGCTTGTTAATCAGCTGATTAGTTGGATGATGTGTGTTGAAAGCAGGGGAAACACTAATAGTATGTGCAGTACAGGGTGTCCTCCAGGACAAGGGCTGGGAACCAGTGTAATGTGTAAGTGCTATTCTGGCTTCTTTGCCCAAACCTTTACAAGGGGCCCATTTTCCTAGTTTGTCAGGAGACCTGCAGCAGTGTAGAGCTGATTAATATTACCAAAAAGCCAGAGTGGAATCTCAGCGTCAAAGAACTTGAGTTCTTTCACTCGGCGTAGGTGCTCGACATGCAGCCTGAGGTGTGCAATGGCCTGGGTTGTATCAGCCTCCTCGCCCCGTGTGTCAGCCTCCGCCATTAGCATTCTCCTCTCCCAACCCTCCCACTCTTGAATGTGGACCTGAGAAATTGTTCCACTCAAACAACGTCAGAACAGCTCCCTTCTTTACAGTCGCTGCCCTGTCTCGGACACAGGCTCAAGAACATCCTCTTTTTCAAATTCCCGGCTATAAACGCCGGTGTCTGGACTAACGGTAAAGTTCTCCCTCCGGATACTGACAATCCATTTTCGCCTGGTTTCTGCATTAGGGGGAAACGTATGAAAACTAAGCACTTACTGGAGGCTTGACACAAAAGCACACAACAATGTTCAGCTGTAGCATGCGGTCGGTTTGTTGAAACTTCAAACCTATTTTCTGAGACATTATCGCCACTTAACCAAAATCACAGCAACAGTACGAATAGCAGAATGTTGTAGCTGGCTGAGATTTTCCTGGAATTTAATCAGCACTCTGCGTGCCTATAGCCCATTTATAGGCTGTAGGATTCAAAGAAGGAGGGCTCTTAGGCATGTTCCTCCCCCAAAACTTCAGTGTTCTCTGTAGAGGATGTGTTAACTCGTTTTCACTTAGAAAATCAACAAAACATAATTTGATTTTCACACTTTTGCATACAATTGTACAACACAAAGTCATATATCATATGTACATCATTTCCAGATGAATAAAATATTGTAGCATTTTAGTGAAGAAGGAGAAATGGGAGAGGTCATGGTTTCTGCTATTAGAAGTGATCTTTATTTACACCAGCAGAAAAGGCGCATACAGAGCCACTGGAATAGCAGGCAGGTCACTCCTAGCCATATGGTTCTGCTTTATAGTTAAGAACACAACCCCATACTAACTACACACCCACAGCCCAACACAAAGTAACACAATAAACACACATGCACACCATTAACTAATTACCAACAACATAGACATAAACGACAACATTTAACATCCTTTCAAGGAGGGGGAGGCTAAGTATGCAGCGTAGTTTTGTATAGCATGGTTCTAGAGCCCCTTCTGTGAAGGAGAGTAACCAGCAGCTGCCCACTGCTCAAAGGTCAGCCATCCCAGTGATTCAGCACTGCCCAAGCCAAGTTCCTGGGGCGCGAGGCACCTGGCCAGCATAAGCACCTCAATTAAGGCCACAGCCATGCCACTGCGACTCCTTCTGAGCACGGCAGGACTCCTCAGAGGTCACCACATCAAGTCTAGCACTACCAGAAACAGCAACAGCACTTCTCTCAGCCGCCCTCTGCTTTCCCTGATTTCTGCCATGTCGACGCTGGCAAGGGTGCTGCTCATGTGTGTTGGACTTCCAACTCTCTGCCTCGGTTTTGCTATTGGTGACTGATCTAAGCTGGACATTAGTCACCTTCCAATAACTTGATGTGCCTCTCTAGGTGCGTGTGTGAGCATGACTGGTGTCACACATCCCTCCGGCTCTGAGGGACACTCGGACTCCATCTCCCAGAATCCTCTGAGAGATCACCTGACTCATGTGACCCCTGACCTTCCCTCGCACTCCAATCAGCGCTCACAGTCTCCTGAATACTAGCTCTGTTCACCTGTGTTCCATGACACATGACTTGTTTAGTTCATTTTAAAAGCCTGGGCTTTAGCTTAGCCAGATTGCGAGGTATTGCTACTTCTGTAGAGCTACTGTGCATTTCTCCTGTGTTTTTGTGATGCCTTTTTTGTGTTTAGACTGTTTTTCTGGATTTCTGGTTTTTCCAGATTTCTGTTCTTTCCCTTTTGTCTTTGCCCTCTGGTTATGGTTGCCATTTTGTACCTTTTTGCTGTTTTGGATCTGACCCACGCCTGTTTACTGACCACGATTCTTGTCAAACCCTTGGATATTAAAGCCTCATCTTTTGGTTTTTCCCGTGAGCGTCTGCCCCTTTTTGTCTCGTTACAACTGGTCAGAGCAGCGATATTGACGGGCCTGTATCGACAAGTGCAATGAGATGTCTTCTTGCATATTTATAGTCATACACTGTAGAAAAATATTTCTTGTCTTAACTTAAAAGTGTATGTGTCTGTGCTACATATACACACAGGAGTGTGCTTTGTGGAAATATTTGTGGAAATATTCCCAATTTTCAAGTTGGGAAATTATTTCTTTCTTTCTTTTCCTTACATCTATTCCTACCCCATTTTTCCTTTGTCCTTTCTTTATGCTTTCCACAGTAGGATACACATGCCCCACAAAAACAATGAACCTGACATTGTGTAAATTTGAGTATAATAAAATATACAACATGAATTAATATAACACTGTAAAAATAATGAAGCAGATTCATAAACTGTAAGGCTCATTTTAAGTGTTTTACAACAGACACAGAGTGGCCTAGTTCTTATGTCATTAATCACTCAGATCTGCACTTTTGCCAAATTTGGAGGAGGTGCCACTGTCCCTTTTTCAGCTTTAACCCAGTAATATGTGGGGCATCCAATGGGCATCACCAAACAGTGCTGGAAGTGCTGTTATATTCAGGCATCAACTTTGCTAACCAGTACCTTTCAGTAGCTAACAGTGAACCATTTCCAATCAATATAATTAACTGAAGATCAATTTTCCCTGAATAAAAGCACAACACAAAATAAATACTCTGATATACAAGATATGAAAATAATGATCTTAGATTTTAACATTTTTCCTCCTATTAGACACAAAACTAAGCTAGACAATGATTATTTTCCTCCCATATGCACCCCTCATGTCAGATTGTGAATAAATGCTCCATCATTAACAATACATATTAGAACAAAGCAATTCTGACAAAATGAAATACATTGGAAATTAAATAGATTTTGTTTCTCAGTAGACTTCCATTATAGTAGTAGACTTTCCCAGTCCAGTCCAAAAAAGTTCAGTATTGTCAATATATATTATGATCTAAATAAAACATATCATAATGTATTTTACTATTTCACTTTTTTTGAGTGGAGCAGTTTGAGGATTAATGTGTTATGTCTGAACGAATACCATGATCACCAAAAAAATCATGAAGTACAACATTTATCATCTACATCGTTATACAAACTGCCATTTGAGATGTATTTAAAGTAGCCACACACTTTCTCATCTCAGCTAAACAAACTGACCAAAGTCCAGCACTCCAGAGCTGAGACTTTATGGGGAAATTAATGAAGCTGCCTGTCGAACTGAGACATTAATAAAT